AAATTATAAAACATATATTGAATTATTTTTTGAAAAAATGAAACCATGAAAAATGTTGCAAAAGCTAATGAGTACTCCACCTATAATATTTTTGAGATATTTTGAACATGGATATGTTATAGGGATGGTTACAAACAAGAATTTGTGTGGACAATTTTGCGTAGACAAAATATCAGCGTTACATCATTCAATATATTATATTATTATATGACTCTCAATATACTTGTTTATTCAAATCTTATTAGTCAATCTATTTTTATTATGGACCACCTCAAAAAATAATTTCGTTTAGCGATAAGCTCCATAATTATGTACATATTTTATCGCTTAGAATTTCTAAACAATAATTTATGAAATAATGGACAGTCTTAACTAAGCGTGCAAAAAACTTTATTGAAAAATGGCAAATTAATCTTTAATCTTTCTAGATATTATATTAGACATTATATCAGGTCAATAAAAACATTGCTTAAATGGAATTCCAAAATTATTATTCTATTTGTTGCAACTTGTGAGCAAATAAAATACCTGAGATAGCGATATGTTCTATAATTATGTACAGAAGATAACGCTTTATGATTGCTGCAATTAAGTTTAAAGAAAAAAACAATTACTTATGTATTAGTAAAATATGTGGTTTACCTGGAGTTGGCCATAATATGAAAATGGCTAAAAAATAATTAATCATCGTGTTAAACTATGTATAAATATAATTTAAAATGTTGAATCTTTTTTAAAACACTATAAAGAAAACCTTGTTAGCAGATATTGAAATTCAAATATGTAGTTTTATAACAAAAGCTTACAATAATTTTGTTCTACACTTGGTAACATATGTTTTAAAAGAATCATTGTGTTTACATTGGTTGTACGGATTTTTGTAAAGGCGTATAAACATGTTATTATTGTATACTGTTAAGTATACAAAACGTTTTGCGCTATTGTAATAAAACTACATACTTATATTTAATTGTCGATAGGTATCTTTTAACAAACATTACTATACAGTGGTCTACAATTGATATCATATACGTATACAACACTATGCTGATTTTTTTTTTAGCCTATATTATTTTATGGTCAACTCCAGGTAATAAATAATATATTTTATTAACACATAAATAATTTTGTTTCTTTATAAATTAATCGCAGCAACCACTGAGCGATACGTCTTGTTCATAATTATGAGATTTATCGCTAACTAAGGTGTTTCGATGTTTGCACAATAGTAATTATAGACAGACATATAAGTTTTGAAAAAAAAAACAAGCATATTGGAACGGTATAATTAACGGAATTAAACTAATTATATATTGTATATCTAAAATATTTTTAAAATTAAATCAACGGTTCTAAAATATTCAAGTAAAAATACAAAGTTAAATTACCCTAAGGTAGAGGTTAATTTTAGAATTTTATTTATTTTCAAGGTAAAATTATAATATTTTAGACTGAACTCTGATGACTTACTCTTAAAATTATTCATAATAACCATTCTGTTACGCGCGAAAAACTATCATAATTATATTATTTAAAATATTATATAAACAAAAGGTTAAATAATGTAAAATCGGTTAGGTGGATGCTAATTGAAAAATAAATCATCAAACTCGATCTGAATATAACCTGTTTTATTAATTTTATTTAGCATGTTCTAAAATCGATGATGATACCCCGCCTTCGTCTCCCAAAGCAAACAAAAAAGAGCAAATTGACCACACTCACTACATGGTCAGCGACATAGGCAACCTATATCTAAGCGACAGGTATGCGATATGAAATTTGTTCATATTGATTTTGTTTTTTTCAACATTTAGCACGTCTGTTTTGTATATATTTTAAAAATACCATAGCCCAAAACGTAGTCTATTTTGTTAAAACAATAATATGCCATACCTGTTAGTGATGGGAAATAAATCCGGATTTTCTTAAAATCCGTAAAGTCCGGTTTTCGGTTTTCGAAGTTCAATGAAAAAAAATCCGGATTTCACGAAGAATCCGGATTTTACGAAGAATCCGGGTTTAATGATAAATCCGGATTTCAAAATTTGAATTTCAGAAACCGTAACCTGGGTTTAAAGAAAAAGCCAAATCACCGATTTTAAAATTCACAAAGCCATTTTGTAATTACTAATTCAGCAGTACAAGATGACCAAATTGTTCAAATTAGTTGACTTTTAATCCTCTATGAAATGCTATTATCGGAACCCTTCAACTAAATTACCCTAAGTTATATGTTTCTAATGAACTTTAAGTTTCATACATGTAATCTAGCTTAAATACAAAGTAAGTATGCTGTATTACAGTTTACTATTTGTGATATATTGAAAACAATTACCTGTTTAAAAATTTTAAGCTATATTTGAGTAGTTTTTACATGCTTTTCTTTAACTCGCTAACACGTACGTACGTCCGTACGTTTGTACGGACGTACGGATATTTATCTTGCAAAATTAATTTAACCCACTTCCGATGTCGTAGAAGGCTGAAACTTGGCACAGACACTCATCTAGGATGACACTATAATATAATGTTATCATATTGGGACTCGGGCATCCAGGTCGCCCTACACAGGGTCATATGTGGGGGTCATTTCACTAAAATTTCATGTTTTTTTCAAATCTTCTAATATGAATTTAGTAATCTATCCACCAATTATTAAGTACCTTTAATAGGACTAAAAAGTAAAAAATAAAATATATAAAACTTTATTTTTAAAAACATGTTTTTCTAAAAATAAGTAAAATGTGAGCTAAAAAGTAGAAAATAATTTTATTACAAGAACAATTTACCAATCAACTGTAGCAAATTTTATTTAAAATGTTAATTACTTTAAAAACAACCGAAAATTAACTACAGTTTTATATAATGTAATTGGTTCTACTGCTTAACTATTTATATCAAAAAGTGATATTAGTATTATTATTACTTATTTAGATTTAAGACATATACAATATTACAATTCCAGATTGACTTATTTTTTTTTTCCTCATTTATATATATATATATTGTGTTGTGTATTTTTCATATTATTACAACTTATTGCTTTAATCTATTATAAAATTGTCATTGAGACTTATATTTCTAATTACAAAGGTATTATTTAATAATATTTTAACTGACCTGTCCAAATAAATAGTTTTTCAGATGTCGTTTTGGTTGTAGATGAAGCACGATTGCCTGCACATCGTGTTGTATTAGCCTCACGCAGTGAATATTTTAGGTATTTAATTCTTATTTTAAATATTTTATAATTATGATTCTTTTTTTTTTTTTTTGCAGCTTACACATGATATTTTGGCATAAGCTTAGTATTTATTAACCTTATACTTTTTAATATTAATAGTCATAATGTGTATTTTTTTTAGGGTATCTTTTTATGGAAAATTTAAAAAACCCAATGATTTGGAGGTGACAATAAGTGACGCACCAGTTACCTTAATTAAAATAATTCTTAAATACATTTATACTGGTCGAATAAATTTAAGTGCTCTTGAGGTAACCAATAATAATGCATGTAGCTTAGTGAAGAAATATTAAACACATTTTTTTTATTTAAATTTTTAGGGTAGAGAGATTTTCGAATTACTTAAAATTTCGGATTTCTATGGTATATCAAACTTAAAAAATTCACTGCACGGATATTTGCAAAAAAGCATTAATATAGGCAATGTATGTTCGTTCCTTGCTATGACACGATTTTTTCAAAACAGGGATCTCGAAGACGAAACACTTAACTTTATCGACAGCAAATCTTTGAGTGTATTGCGAAAGATAGAATATTTGTCTTTTTCATCCGTAATTGCTTTTTTTCAACGAAAAAATTATGTTGCTGGTGTTTGGTGAAAAGTTAAGAAACAATTTTTAAATTTTAGGATGAACTTCAAGAAATTCTCCATCGTGACACGTTTTATGCTAAAGAATTATTTATATTCCGTGCGGTTTGTCGCTGGATTAAAACGAACCAAGACACCTTGGATCGTGACACTAAAATCAAAGTTTTATCAGTCGTCAGATATCCGTTAATGAGTTCTAAAGAATTGTCAGACGCCAGGAAATCAAAACTGGTTAGTTGGAATATAATTTCAGACGCAATAAAATTTAGAAACACTTGGTCAACAGATAAGCCTCGAATAAGGGCACAGCTAAGTATGCCTGCTGTACAGCAGTACACATCAGTTTGTATTTTGCAAATTATGTTGGTTTTAATTGTTTTATTTTTTAGGACCCAATGAGAATCTGCTTTCTAAATCTCAGGTTATTCTCGTTACTTATCACACTGACAACGATACTTTTTTAATAAGGTTGGAAAAACCATCAACCATAAACTATATTGAATTTGCGCTATGGTATAAACATAATATGGATCATTTGAAGTATGTTCTTAATCAATAAATATTTTTAATTAAAATGGTTTTTTATTTTAAAAAAATGTATATGAATTATCACAACTATATTCCTAGTATTTGATTTTATATACTTTTTTTATAATTTATTACTCTACAATTTATTCGAAATATTTTATACTTTAGGGATTTCTCTTATTATATTGAAGTTTCATTGGAACGGCACGATTGGACACGTGTTGTAGATCATTCAAATTATAATTGCCGATCAATTCAACGTTTGTTTATTCATCCTCGCATAGTTCAGTATATACAAATTGTTGGAACCAAACTTACTGCTAATGCGACTTTTACATCCAGGGAAGTCAAGTACAATACAGAAGATATGCACAAGGTGGAAATAAAAAATGGATTAATCGGTAAGAAATCGTATGAAGTAACTCATTTAAAAAAAAAAAAAAAATAGAATATTTAAATATTTATTTGCCTAATTTATTTATTTCAATCAAGTTCCAAAGTACCAGTATAATGTCACTTCGTATTCTATGAATGCATTTGTAACCCAAGGAGAAAGTGAAAAAGATAGCCAGTCGTTGTTAAAAGTGTATCATAATAAAACGAATGATGTGAAGATTTATACATACCACCTGCTGGAAAAGGGTTGTATAGTGGTTCAACTTGCACAACCATATATACTTGGTTCAATGAGGTAATGTTATAAATATCTTGCAGTTCTTATAGCAATTATGTTTCACTCAAACTCTGCAGTCTTCATTATTATTTCTTTCTCAGAGCATAAATCTCCAATTCGCACAAAATAATATTTATGTATTCTTGCTTTTTTTTTTTAAGTGAATCTGTAGTTATCTGTAGTTCATTAAACGAATAATTAGCAATGGTCATGTAAATGGATGACATTATTATTATTACCATAATTAACAGGTTGCTGCTTTGGGACGGCGATGACCGAGCCTACGGTTACACTGTTGAGGCTTCTGTCAATAACCAGGATTGGGAAATACTTATAAACAAGTCTAAGGAGCTGACACAATCTTGGCAGGTGTTTCAATTTAAACCCAGGCCGATAATCTACATTCGTGTTACTGGCGTTTACAGTTCAGTAGGCAATGTCAGTTCAATTGATATATGTTTTCTTAAAACTTTTTAAAATAATTTATTGTTGTAGGATTTTCGTATTGTATATTTGGAGGCCCCCGCTCAAGTAACTTTAGATTCCAACGATGTTGAAGACGATCGTGCGATAACAAGTGACAGGTTAGTCTTGTCAAATTTGACAACTGCTTTTGTTAGTTTACTATAATGTTCTTTGTTTCTATCATTGTTATGTCGAAAATTGAACGAACATTTTTTTTCAGGAGACCAACTAAACGGTTAAAGCTCCAGTAACAAAATTTGAAATATAACCATAACTTTTCGATAGCTACACCTAAAAATTGTGTAGGTAAAAACTAACTATGTGATTAATAATAATATATTATGTTTTAATACCCAGATTGTATTTTTCATTGGATTTTATTTATTACGCGTTGTTCAATCAAACTTGAACCAAATCCAACGTATTATAATTTATTATAAAGCACATACTATTGACTAGTTATTAAATTTTCTTTTAAATACGTAAAAATGCTACAATATTTTCTCTTATTTGAATTTAAAATTTCCATGATGTAGTCAATAGATAATTTTTGTAATGGTTTATCTTAAAAACATCTAAAATTGGTATTTTTTTTTCGATTTTTCCGAGTACACATAAGAAGCCTCTACACTACTATTTATTGAGGCGCATCGTATAGGACATTTTTACCATAAACTTAACAATGTGCTAAAGATATTAAACATGTATCTATTTTTTTTTAATTTTAATTGAAATATTCTCAGATATAGTAAGTTTAAAGTAGTATGAGTTGTTTTCGACCAAAAACAGGCATGTGTAGAGGCCCCTAAATAATACTTTAAGTAACCTACCTTTGATGGCTTCGATGATGATTATTTTGTCTTGTTGTAACTGATCACCATGTCCTCTTGACAAATTCAACTACAGGTTTTGATTCATACAAGAGTACAACTATAACTATATCTCCTCGCTTATATCTACAAGCTTTAATCATTAAGTCACAAGTTAAAAGGTGAATTTCATCAACTGAATGAAAATTAACTAGTATGTCTATAAATGATTCAGAACTAGCGTGTTCATAGCAAAAAAAACTGATCCAGAACTTGGATATTGCATGGCATTACGTTGAGAGTAACATATACCCTCAATGAGCTTTAGTAACCTTACCTCAGCGTCCTAATAAAATAAGTTGTATCTTTTAGAAAAGTCTTTTGTTTAAATTGCGTAAATTTAGATAATTATTAAGTATAAAGTCTGTCCAAAGGTAGTAAAATGTTTATAATTTAAGTATTTTTTTCATTTATACTTTTAATTGGTTACATTTAAATAGAAAATACAAATTAGTTACAGATAAAAATTGTGCTTGTTATTTGATTATTTTTCTTTATGTTAAATAATAACTATTTTTATTTAAATATTACTCTAATTGTTCACCCCTAGATGTGAACGCATTATATTAAGTATCAACAGTACAGGACACATTAATTGCGAAGCAAACAAGCCAGTCAGCCTCTATGGATTTGTCAATACATTATCATAGGCACAAATAGTCCAAAATATTTGGAGAGATTGTGGTTTAAACAACTTAATATCGAGTAATAACTATTCAGAAATTCCTAAAACATAACACGGCTAATTAAGAACAAAACAATAATAAAAGAGTTGACTTATTAAAAAGCCCCTCAATTATCACATTTATTGTATACAATTTTATATAATTTTACTAAACGCGAAAGCCATAAAATTTAATTGCATTAATCAAATAAAACAAAAACAAATACGCATACAAGAGAAAAAAATCATTCGATAAAAATATTTTTAATTCGTAGCAAGTGTGCAAGTGCAACGAAATCCAAAAGGCTTATATTTCAAATATGGTTACTGGATCTTTAACCGTTTAGTTGGCCTCCTGAAAACAAAAATTGTCGTTAAATTTTTGAAATTATAATGGTATAAAAGAAAAAAAATTATTACATTAACTAAAAATAGCGGTTATCGAATTTGCTGTGACTAACCCGTCATTCGTTACAGCACGATCGACTTCAACGACGTTGGAATCGAATGTTACTTGAGCGGGAACTTCCAAATATATAACACGAAAAACCTACAACAAATAAGTATTATAAAAAGTTTAAGAAAACACACAAATCAATTGTACTCACATTGCCTGCTGCACATTTAACGCCAGTAATACGAATGTAGAGTATCGGCCTGGGTGTAAATTTCAACACCTGCCAAGATTGCGTCAGCTCATCAGATTTATTTACAATTCTCTCCCAATCCTCATTGTCGACTGAAGCATCAACTGTGTAACTGCAGGCATCGTCACCCCGAAGCAGCAACCTGTCAGTTATGGCAATCATAATATTGTCTTAGTTTCATAATGAATAAAAGTCATAAAATGTCCAAATTTTTTTTGCTTTTATTAATTATTAGTAAAATATTTTATTGAATTATTGTTTGCCTTATGTGTGTCTGATCAGCATAGTGAAAATATTGGTATAAAAATTGCAAGATATTTCTACTATTACCTCATTGAACTAAGTATATATGGTTGTGCAAGTTGAACCACTATACCAGCCGATCCCAGCATATGATACGTGTATCTTTCATTTCTAGCTTGACTTTCCTGGTATCTCTCTACTAGCGAACCGTTATTAGAGTTATTTTCACCATTGATTACAAATGCTCTCATATATTCTGAACTGACAATATAACCGAACTTGGGAACTTGATTAAAGTTACAAAATTAGACAAATATAAATTTAAACATTCCACCATTTTTTTTTTCAATATTTAAATATGAGTAACTTCAATCATTTTCATACCGACTAATCCATTTTGTATTTCCACCTTATGCATATCTTCGGTATTGTACTTGACTTGCCAAAATATAAAAGTCGCATTAGCAGTACTTTTGGTTCCGACAATGTGTATATACCGAACTAGGCGTGGATGAAACCACAAACGTTGAAATGATCGACAATTATAATTTGAATGATCTATAACACGGTCCCAAACTTGCCCATCTATTGAAACTTCAATGTGATAAGAGAAATTCCTAAAGTATCGAGTCATACGAATAACTTTTAGAGTAGTGATTTTTATCAAGGTATACAAAATAAAATACAAGAGACGGATTTACGTGAATTCATTAATCTTTTCTTCATACCACATCGTTATTTCGAGAAAATTTATAGTTGTCAGAGTATTCAACTTTACCATATTAGTACCCTCGTAATGATCGGCAGTATCTGGAATTGTCTCAGACTGATAAATAAGATTCTTATTGGGTTCTAAACAACAAAATAATTGAACCCAACATAATTAACAAAATTAAATTCGATGTGTACAGCAAGCATACTTAGACGTTCTTGCAATTTGAGCTTATCTGGTGACGACGTGATCCTAAATTGTATGGCGTCTGAAATTACATCCAAACTAACCAGTGATGATTGCTTAGCGTCAGCCAGTTCTTCATCACTCATTAACTCATATCTGACGGCTGATAGAACATTGATCGTAGTACCGCGATCCAGTTCGTTTTGGTTCTTCTTGATCCAGCGACAAACAGCACAGAATATAACTAATTCGTTTGCGAAAAACGTGTCACGGTGGAGAATCTCTTGAAGATCATCCTAAATATAAAATTTGTTCCTTAACATTTTCACATAACAAGAGCATTTTTTTATTTAAACAAAAAATCCATTACAATTGACAAAAACAGAAAATCCTCAGATTGCAACACATCAAAAGGTTTTTTTTCGATAAAGTTAAGCGATTCGTGTTCGAGATCCTTGTATTGATAAATTCGAGTCAAAGCAAGCAACGAACATACATTGCCTTCGCTAATCTTTTTTTGCAAATACTTGTGCAGTGAAAGTCTTAAGTTTGAAATAACGAAAAAATCCGAAAGTCTAAGTAATTCGAATACCTCTCTATCCTAAAAAAATAAACAGTAAAAAATGTATTAAATCTTTTTTCAATATCCTGTTTTCGATTAAACGGAAAATTTATTTTTAAAGTCCGAACACGTCATACTCTCGACCAAACGATCACACAACCCTAATAAAAATGATATCTATGTCGTTTAACAGCCACTAAATTGTGTCGATTATCCATGTCGTTACCTCAAGATCATTTAAATCCATTCGACCAGTATAAATATATTCAAGAATTATTTTAAATAAGGTAGCAGGCGCTTCACTTATTGTCACCTCCAAACCATAGTTTTCTTTAAAACTTCCATAAAAACGGATCCTAAAAATAATACACAATATTATAACTAACATTAAATTATGGAGTGAAAATATGAAGAAGTATTTCAAAAAATAGGGATCTCATTTTACGTCATACCGAACAAGCAAGTCCAGAAATCATGAAAATTTTATTCGGTGAGCCCAACAACCCGGTTTGAAGTGGAATACCCCATATACAGGGAAATACAGATTTAGTTTATGTCTTACTATCAGATTATAGATATAATAAAAAAAACAATAATACAGTTTTCACCAACCCATGAAAGACTAAGAAAATATACTTAAAGGTAAGAATTAAATACATGAAATATTCACTGCGTGAGGCTAATACAGTACGATGGGCGGGCAATCGTTCTTCATCTACAACCAAGAAAACATCTGAAGACCTGAAAAAGTCACTAGTTTAAAATGGAAAAATAATATGTAAAATCATCCGGGCATATCATATTTTGACACTTTGTCTACTATTTACTTTAAATCAAATTCGAATTATTCGATAAAAATATTGGCAAAACGGGACACACTTACAGCTTACTTTTGCAGGTATGAAATATTATTATAATTTTAACAGAGTGGAATACATTTTTGGTACTGTATCAAAAAAAAAAACTGTATACAAGACAAACGTGCCAAATTATGAAAACAATATAATTATTAGGTACAAACTCGAAACCACATACCTGTCACTTAGATGGAGATTGCTTATGTCCCTGACCAAGATGTGAGTGTCGTCGATTTGTTCGTTACTGAGCGCTTTGGAAGGCGAAGGCGGATAATAATAATCCTCCACGTTAGAACATGCTAAATAAAATTATCAAAACAGCTGATTTTTTGGACGAGTTTGTATGGTTCATAATTCAGTTTTTAAAATTTTAAAATTATCCCCTTATTCAAGGGTTAGTTTATTTTTAATTTTTACTCGAATACATTAGGATTATAGCTCTATCAAATCTAAAACTTAAATTGCAACCTTCATATTAAAAAAAATAAAAATCGTATTTATCTATTCAGATATTTCAACTAAAACTGTAATGACCATAATTTTAGTTGGACTAACTATGTATTTTTTCCGTGCACTATTAATATTACAATCTATACAGCAGATGTGTTACAACATACAGTTAAATAACATCTTATCTCAGTATTTTTTTTAGTTGAGAAATAAATGTATGAATTTGCGAATTGTAAGAGTTCTGGTTATACCAAAAAAATGCCAGTGATATTATTATACAATTTAACGTACTTAGCTATTTTCTAATTAATATAGATACTCTTATGACAATGGCATTCACATGTATGAAGGTTATGATTTTTGTTTTCATTATTACAATATATTCATGCCGCCGGTACACCAGACAACTGAAAATTGACTCTGATTTAAGTTTTTATATTATTTCAATATTGCACCATCTTTTTCTATACTTCATATAATATATTATAAACAAATTATTGAGTTCTTATACGGTGCAAAGTATACTGTAAAGCTATATAAACATGTTCTTGTTGTATGTTAAACACAGATTTAATTCTGACGTCAGACTTTTTGATCATACCAATACAAATAGTTTTTTTTACCTAACCTTGCGCTGCAGATTAGTATTAAAGTATTTTTAAAAAAATGTATATATAATATAATATATGTATACAAGTTTAAGAACGAAGCGATATTATAGAGATAAATCGAAAATTAACTCTGGAAAAATGGAATTATGAAAAATGTTGCAATAAGCTAATGAGTATTTTTGAGGTATTTTGAAAATGGATATGTTAGCCATGTTGTTGTTGGGCTAGTTACAACGAAACATTTGAGTGGATAATGCTTTGTGATTACTGCAATTGAATTTCAAAGAAAAAACAAAATATATTTATCTATAAGTGAAATATATGATTTACCTGGAGTTGACCATGAAATCAAAATGGCTAAAAAGTAAATCATGATCTTGTTAAATTATGTATTAATATAATTTCAAATGTTGAATACTTAATAAAACGCTCTAAAGAACAACTTGCCAGCAGATATTGAAATTTAAATATGTAGCTTTATAGCAAAAGCTTACATTATTTTTCTACACTTAACGACATATGTTTTAAAAGAATCGTTGTGTTTACTTTGGATGTAAGATTTTTGGCAAAGGCGTACAAGTATGTTATTGTTGTACATTGTTAAACATAAAACACAGATTTGAAGCAGAAGTCACAATACCAACAGTAGAGTACCAAGCCAATTAATCTCACTCACTTCTCTATCAGCAACCACTATCTGAGCGACAGGTACGCGGTATTACTTTGTACCTATTAAATATATAATATTTCAATTGCTGGGTTTTCCTCAGTTATACGGCTGATGTTAAACATTACACTTACACAGCTCTTGTTGATCCTGTACATTGAATAAAGATGGTAAATGTATGTGCTTAAAACATGGTTGAAATCTGAATACTAAATACCTAACAATGTACAACAATAACATGTTTACGTACCTATACAAAAAACCGTGTACCATATGTGAACTCAATTGTTAGTATTTTATAATATACCCTATGAAGTGTAGAAAAATATTGTGCAATAATAATGTTCTCAATATCTGTTGACAAGTTTTTTTCTAAGTGCTTTTTAGATAGACTAAAAAATTTGACAACATTTTAACACATAGATCACAAACATGTTCATTTATTTCTTAGCCTTTATCGTTTTAACGTCTACTTCAGGTACATAATAATGTATTTTGCATTGCATAATACTTTTTCACCAAGTTATTTACCATTTTTTGCGTAGGACATTCGAAGGTTAGTCGACGTTTCTTTCCTTCTTTAGAATTTAGCAAATACGAATAAAACGAATTAGCAAATAACAAAATACGTTAGATTGTCGTTTAATTATAAGAAATACACTATTTCTAATCTATTCTACCAGGCTCTTGGATAGTAATTCATCAAATGATATAATTTTTTTTACTAATTCTCTTTTCTGTTACTATTGTTTATCCTAGTTGCTAGCTGCACTAAAACAGGTCACCCACTTGAAGCTTCAAGTTCAGCTGCACCTGAACCTGAACCAAAAACTAAAGCTCAACTAAAAATTGAAGCCGAGGTAATCTAACACCATTAGGTTTTTTAATCAATATCCTGCTGAACCATTTATAATATTAAGTTTAAAGTTTTCTTAAATAGACTTTTGACATTTTTATGTATTTGCTTTGGCGCTTAACGGAAAAATTGACACCATTTACAATCGACAACGACTATCATAGCGAAAAAAATCAGCTGATTTATCTGATAAGATAATAGAGTTAAAAGATATATTTTTACTTTGGAACACAACCAGAAAAATCGACACCGACACCGAAAATGTATCCTTATATATATATCCTTATATCTTAATATCCTTATATATCCTTCTTATGAGGGTGGGAATGGAGATGTTACATTTATGTGGTAGGAGATAGGAGATTAGAGATAAGAGATTAAAGATGAGGCATGGGGTTGGGGTTAGAAATTGGGGCATATATGTTGTATTCACAAAGTTCAAAATAGAAATTAATAATAAATTCAATAATTTAAGGGGCCAAATAAAAACGTATCCCGTGGTGTTGCGGACTCGTACATTTCTTTGTTTTTCTAAGTGTTTTATTTATACGTGTTAGGTAACCAAGTAATGCGTTTTAAACAAAATTCTCAAAAACATACATCTTGTGTAGCCTATACAGCAGTATATGGATTGCTAAAAATACACTTAAGGACAAAAAATGGTCAGTCACAAGTTAAAGTTCGAGCCTGCAGTGCCGTTGAAACGCCGGGACAACATCGTGAGTTCTGATTATACCAACGTCGAAGCGTTCACGCCGTCGTACAACGATAAGTGCATCGATCCGGGTATGTTCCTATTGGTGTCCATGGACTATCAGCGAACGTGGACGATGGAGAAAAATGCGTATCTCAAAACCGTAAACGTGGAAAAGGAAATACCCAAACACTGGACAAGAGGGTACGCTGCCAAACACCAGCACAGGATACCCAGATTAATGTTGCCGGACAAACCCGAGTTCAAAGGGCTAAGGAAATACGCCAACGTCAAGTCTAAACTGTTGCTGAACAGCAAAGCCATGACTTTACAGGAAGCGTGTGCACCGAAGCCGATGGAAACCAAATGGAAATAAACAGCTGTATTACAAGAGCAAATAAAAACGTTAAATTCATTGTTTTTATTCGTTATTTAGTTGTGCAGGAAACAGCTAAAATATGATTAACTCTGAGTAGTATCAATAATTAATGGCGTTTGAACCGACCGTACTTGAAACAAAGTATAAATTAATATATCAGATGAACTATTGTTATTTTAGCCTAAAGGCTTACAATCTACAATTCTTGTCAAAATGAACTAAATATGATTTTAATATTGTTTATTGAGAAATCGTTTTTTATATTGTTATATGACATTTAAGTAAGAATCGTAATTCAATCGTGTGAGTTTATATGATGATTGTTTTAGCACGAAAAATGCATAATTATTACTAATTTGTAAATTATTAGTATCTGTAAATTGAAGCGAAATAAATAATGTATTCTGAATAAAATAATTTTTTTTTAAATTAATTAAGCATAACTCTGTATAAGCTTTGCCTAAATATAATCCGATGTTTTATAGAATTAGACTTTGTATTGGTAAAACATTTTCAGATCATAAAAAAATCGTTCGATGATTGCTTAAGATGGATGAGCTACAACCTGGACTACATACGTGATCGTCTTACCTGTAGTATGTTTAACTATTGTATGGGTGGTGTCCAACAAGATGTTGACATCACCAATAAATACTTCAAGAAACATCCAGAAGCATTGCCAAACAAAGGTAAACATTAACAGCTATACACATTATATCCCATTTCACTAAATCAGTTGATTTTTATGAAATATTCTCATTCGCGTTTAAATAAATTATAATACCAAAGTATGCATCTTACCTAACCTAACAGAGGAAACATCGTATAATATAAACATAATATGTAGCATACTAAAAATTGATGAAACTCAAAAATACGCCCAAAAAGGTAAAATGAGAAAAAGGATCCGCTCTACGCACAAATTTAAACAAATAAAAACCCACCATTGTAAAAGCAATCGGCTAGCAAAAATTTATTTTGACAACTGAGGCGACCACTAGTGCAACCTTTCCCCTATAATAACATATATTACTATTTATACTAAAATTTAAATTTAAATTTGAGTTTTTGTTTTAATTTTTTAGAAAAAATAGATTTGAATCTATACGGAGAACTTTTTAAAGAACATTGCAGAGCATTTGGCTATACCATAGAAAAATGCGCGGAAACGAAGAAAAGTTCAGAAAGTCAAATGGCACGCTGGGGGTACATTAGAAGATAACAGACTATGAGGACTCGTAGAAAGCTTCGAACTATGATTATGAAATTAAAACTCAAAATTAAAGGTTACGTGGAAATGTTTTTTCATAGTCTAGTAATAAAATGCCAAAAACATTTTAAACTTATTTGAAATTTTTAGTTTTTTCTAATAGTAATCCACCCATTCGTAATACTACACCTCTATACTATGTAAAATTGAGTTATGTTATTTAGTTGTTTATCTTATGTCAGTCGGTCTCCATTCCAGTCACGTTTTAAGTCACTTGTGTGTTATGATACACTGCACTGAATATTGACAATATTGACGGCAGGTCACCGGGTGTAAACGTACCTACTCGTTTTATTAACTTTTTCAATTTGAAAAAAAATTTGAAAAACTTTATCTGGTCGATTGCCTACCGGTTTTGGCACAATTCAACTGAAACAACTACTGTTGTTTAGTCAATAGCAACGGCACGTGATATTTTCGATAACAATAACACATCCGAAGGGTTTTCCCAAGTAAATTTCCGTCATGTTCAATTTGAGAATTTCCGCGTTTATCATTTGCTGCTATGTGTCGCAATGGACGTTTTGTATCGACGATTGCTTGCCCTCGCTGGACGGTATTTGTGGATTAACCGCGCAGCAAGTCGCCGCCGCCCAGAGAAGGTATGACCTCTCCTGGCCACAATTCCATTACAGTAGTAATATTATATAAGTTACGTGTACTGCTTCACTTTATTTTCAATAACATAATTCTCCTTCATAATACTCATCTATAATACTCATCCATAATGACATCAGCACTGTAACACTATGATCATGTCGCTAAGAACGTGACGGCCAAATTTTTAGACTGACCCCCCCCCAGCCATAAGACGTATCCACGTGAAAAGTACCAGGGCCCTAAAGGAATCATAAAGGAATCTTAACATCTGTATCACAATTATATTAATGTAAATAACAATATTCGCTGATGTTTACTATGAAACCCAAATTACACGAATGACGACGAGTTGTGCCGGTGTAGCACTCGCGCATAGTGGACAATCCCCCCACCACTTAATTCCGGTTACTGCTGCACTCCAGTAGTAACGCGGTAAACAATAAACGTATATTGGTCCGTATGCCAGGTCGGACTGCAGCGCCAGTTGTGTGCATAGCCAGCTGTGTTCTTCGGACGACTGCATTGGAAAACAAGAGACACTAGTGGACTGTCTGGTGGGCCAAGAGGTGAGCGTGCGGCAGCTGGAGCAACACTTCGGGCAGGCGGTGCTGAAACTGATGAAGGACCTGGCGAAGGTGACGGACGCAAAGGAACGGGCCACGTCCGTGCTGTTCGACCAGATGAACCAGCTGAACGAGCACCTGGGCAGGTATTACCGCGACGTGGTGGTGGTCGAGAGCACGAGCAAAGCGCACACCGACGCCAGACGTTTGATGCGCGAACGGATGGCGTGCTTCAAGGACATCCAGCGCAAGTTGTGCAGGACCAAAGCGTCGCTGGATCATCAATTGCGCTTGGACGCGCTGAAACGGATCAACGAGGCCAACCGGTTTGGAGTTTCGGTGGCGGCGTGCGATTGCACGGACTGTCCGGCCAACACTCGTCCTCCATGCGGATGAGTCGGAAACCAAACACACCCGTGGTCTTTTTCCATTAGCTTAAGCCAAAACTTTAGCCGTTAGGGATATAATAATTTTCTCCGATAACTTTGTCATTGTATATTAACACTGGTTAATTTTTTTTTCAACATTATACTGTTTTGTGTTCAACACAGTATTCGTACCTCCTAATCTTCTATTTGTTTTTTAAACATGCATGTATTTTTGGGCTGAGAGACATTCTGAAATTCGTGTTACGATTTCGTGCAATCGACATCATGATAGAAATTATTTATTGAACAACACTGGTATGAGTGCCAGGGTTCTGCAAACCCTCACGGTTGCTAGGACCCTAGCACACAAATTTTATCGTGTTACTTTGTTTATTTTAAATAATATATATTTACACATTTTACGCATGTAATCGTGTAAAATAACATTCTAGCACGGAGATTCATCTTGGGTAGGACACTGATTTTTTTGGAAAATATGAACATTAAAAAATAATAATAATTTCCTGTACTTTTAGGTACACGTTGTAGTACATTTTTCAATACTGTGAAAATTTGTATTTCCAATCCTTTAACAAAAAAAAAAGGGTAGGATGTCACTTTTTCAAATGGCAACATGTGTTTTAAGTTCGATTAAATATGTAGACAACAATTTTCAAAAAATGTTATTGTTTGAGTTTTAAATTTTTATCCATTTGTTCGCTTGTTATGACTTTGTAAGGATTTTAATTTTTGTCTATATTTCTTATAATTTTCATTCGGTTCAACAAAGACAAGTAGTTTTATTACCAATCATCACATAAAATAATAATTTAGTAGATAAGATCCGCTTTTATTGTATTTGGTTATCGGTGTACTCGCCTATCGGACAATGCGAGCATAAATAAGAATTTTATGGGCTACTGGTCTTTGGGACACCGAATAAATATGACAATACTTAGGAGAAAATGCATACATTAAATGTAATATCTTGTCGAAGTCATAGCTAACGAACAGACGGATAAAAATTCAAAATTCATACGATAACATAGTTTTAAATTTTTTGCCTAAAAATTTTTGGAATTAAAAACATATTACGTTGTCATTTGAAAAAGTGAACTTGGACCCTTTTTATCGTATAAGGGATAGAGATAAAAAATTTCAAAGTATTAAAAAACATAGTACAAATTGTACCTAAAAAAATAATATTCAAAATATTAACATATTCGGAGAAAACTAGTGTCTTACTCAAAATAAATCACCCTGTATTCTAAAAAAATGTAGTTTTTAATAGGTTAAGCTGTTCAGACGGTATGCGTAATGCGTCTCATATAAATTATCATCCTCTACAGAAATGCATAGCAAACTTAACATAGGACCCTGGTACTTTGGAAGAGCGACAGTGGTGGCTATCAATTTAAAATGTATATAATAGTACCTCATGCTAAAACATTGCTATGCTCTTGATTCTGTATAAATAATTCAAAATATAGTTTGATGAGAACACCTACTGTGGAAGTATTGTTTAATAATATAATACATATTAAATCTCATCAGAAATGTTCAACAGTAAAAAATTAAGGTAATTCAATAATTTTGATGTACTCTATAGTATTGGAATGGATGAAAAAATAATTTTAAGGCTTATTGAAAACGTGTTTAAGATTATCAATTTAACACTTCATAGGTGATTTTTTTTTATTTTGAATTTTGCCATTTTTTTAATAAAATTAAAATACACCACACCTCTTTATATGAAACTAGATAAATATAAAAAAAAATAATTTAAACACTTAGCTTTATTTAACTTTGTGTTTGTTTTGTATCATTTAATTCCCTCAGTTATCAGAAACTATACCACTACATCCTATTAAGTTTAACATAATGTGTTGTTTTATATTTCAATAACAAGGTTTTAAGAAAGTATAAAATCATACGTTTTTAAGTTATTGACAGTAAAAATTATTTTTAAAAATTGGTGTTATTTTTACACTTGGCAAAGAAACGGCTCTTAATACCGGCTCTGGAACAACGACAATATCTTTTTGTGTTCCTAGTGTCTCCAATTTCATGCATCTAACAACCGTTGATATTACAGTCTTCATTTGATACATGGCGAATTTCTGACCTAAAATGCCAAACAGTACATTAATTTAATCGTATAAAATGACAATCCAAATGGGTTTTGTTGGATAATTTTTTTCATTAAGTAAGATGTCATACCAATACAGTTTCTCGGTCCGGCGCTAAACGGTATGTATCCGAATGGGTGTCGGCCGTTACAATGTTCTGGTAAAAATCTATCGGGATTAAATGCTTCTGGATTTGGATACATTGACTCGTCACGATGCAACAAATAAATAATGATGTGTACAACTGATCCTGCAGGTATTATGTGGTTTTCTGAAATGTTAAAATGTCGATAATTCTGACTCGAGTATGAAAATTAAGTTTTTAAACATACTCAGACGTAACGGTTGATTAAGTTTTCTTTGTATACCCGGAACACTAGGGTAAAGTCTCATGGTTTCCTTTATTACTCTCTCCAATATCGGCATGGCTCTAAGGTCTTCCATTGTAGCATCTCGATCGCTGTCACCAAATATTCCATAAAGCTCTTCTCGGATGTCATCCTATTTTTTATGTTAGGAGTAAAATAAAATAGGCGATAAGAGTGTGTTTTTTGGTATTGCAATTATAATATTTTCGAATAATTTAACGGTATAAATCCGGGATGGATATATGGGATTTTTACACGAAGAGAGCAAAGACAACGGTCAGAGAACAATTTCATTTGTGACATCTAGGAGTTTAGTAATCAGTAACACTATCTTTCCCCAACAAGAACATCCACAAGTATACGTGAAAGTCTCCAGACGGACGGACTATGAATCAAATTGACCATGTATTGATTGTAAAAAGATGTAGATCAAGTATAACATATTGATGTTTCATTTTAGATAAGTTAGTCATATATTATTAAACTTAGCACCTGAATGTTTTGATTCATGCCGATGTGAATCAACGCCATTGTCATAGCTAATGAAGATGTATCGTGTCCTTCGAATAGAAAAGTGTCTACTTCTTCTCGAATGTCAGCGTCTGTCATTGAGTTTGGATGTTCGTTGGAAATACCTATTAATAGGTCCAGGAATGAATATACTTTTTTTCTTTCTGTAATATAATATCAGTGTTTCAAATATAGAACATAAAAAACAATAAGTAGTAGCTGTTGCAAATAAACCAAATTTTAAACCATTATTTTCGGCCATTTCATTTTTGGCGTCATTAAGTTTTTGTTTTCTTTCCTGAATAACCTGAAATTATATTTTTATTTAAATAAAACAAGTACACGTCGACTGTCTGTTGTACAGTGCTATAATTACGTTTTCAGTAAATGTGTGCAGTACTTTTAATGATTTGTAAAAGTCTCTGCCGGAAGGACTGACGTTGAAAATCGTATCACTCCAAAGCCATAGTGTGAAAATTCTTTTCATGATTATACGACTCACGCTGGTAAAACCAAAACATTCAATAATTGTTACTTTTACATTTAGTAAAACTTTAAGCACTTTCATAACGATAATACATAAATTCACATGTATATTTATTAATTGTTTGCACGAGCGGACATACTTTTTTATTGCATTTACGTAATCGGTCGATTGTTCTTCTTGAGATCTTAAGCTCACGCCCATAATTGTTTCTAAAATAACATGAATTAATAGTGGTTAGATTAACAATTTAATTACTTCTTCTTCTTCATTTTTGCTTTGCAATCCAAACTACATGTGGTCGGCCGTTCTAGTCCTAAAGGCTACTCTTGCATAGCACTCGATCTACTGCATCTCGTCCAGTCACCCCTAGCAAACCTACTATTACTTTTGGCTCTTTATTTGCCCGCTCTTTTCTCCTGTCTAACCCTTTCTTTAATACTCGAAATTTGAGACCATTCATCTATGCAGCGTTACCACTCTTATAACTAGAATTAATTTGCAATCTTACACTGCTAAGAAATTTATTTGTGATCTACATATTTCTTCCAATCTTCAAAGTTGTAGATATAATGTTGTTCTCTTTTCCTATAAAATGTATTCACAACTGCCAAACCGTATGCCTCCGCAAAATCAAGTACCTTTTCTCCATCTACTCTTTCATACCCTGTCCACCGATCAAAATTTCCTATTTTCTTGGTAAGGAATTTACTACCTCATCCATTAATTTTACTATTACTACACAAGCACATTTCCTCACATCTCCTACCACGTTTGCTTTTATTTCCTGGTCCACTACCATTATACTGCCATTCCTAATGCTACTCGTGCTTGAATAGATTGTCTTACACCCTTTTCCGATTTACTTTGCTTTCTCTCCATTCGTTCTAGTTTCTTGCACACAACAAATATTCATTCGTCCATTTTAACATTCTCATCTCCACTACACTCATCTTTTGTTCAGTAGTTTGTCTACTGCCCTATATTCTGATCCATACAGCATTGTTGGCCTCACTACCTTCTTCTAAAATCTACCAGTCATACAAAACACCTGACGCTCTTCTCCGTCTTTTTCATCCATCATTTATTCTCAGTCCTTTTCTTACAAGCACTTCACTTCACTCTTCAAGTCTCTCACTCAATTCTTCCGGAATTTCCCCCACTATGTACACATGCATGTAGCATTATTTATTATACTGATGTTTAATGATAAAAATAGTGATTTACCGCATACAATATCTAAAGCGCATAAAGTCATGTAAGAATATATGTCCGTAATATGTTCATCGTTTTTCGATGCCTTGGCGAGGTTTTGCACTAAATTGTATGCATGCTTGTTGAATGCCGGTATGTATGTTCCTAATATTTTGAAGTGGAACGTATTGGTCAGTAACTTTCTTCGCGTTTGCCATTTTTCATCTGGAACACATTATTGTGTTTAATACAATTGAACAATCGTCTAATAATAGAAATAGGGCATTCGACATACCGGTGCTGGTCAAAAGCCCTTTGCTTAACCAGGGCTCGAGAAACTTGTAATCCGGTCCTTTGGTAATATGTTCAGTACTGGACAAGAATATCTATATAAAAATTAACTCTAATATATTCTTACATTTACAACTAGGAACACCAAATATAGTAATAAACGCAGACCTTTACGTCATCGGGATCGTTTAATAAGATGTAGTCATTCAGTATAATTTTAAAATGCACCAACGGTCCAACTCTTTTGACTAGGTTAGAGAAATAAGGGAAATAATCTGAAATGTTCGGACGGTTAAGTAATTTCTTTTTTTGCAACAGAAAAATTAATTTCATGTGGTATTAATTGATTCACAGTAAAGTACTTTTCTAAATTTAACCTTTTTTTTTTTTTGGTTTATAGCCTTTTCTGTACAACTTGTATTATTCGAGAAAAAAAAATATAAAAAACTACTGAATTTTACCCTTAAGATTACAATCAAATAATAAAGTGTCATGTTCATAATAATAGATATCATTTTGTTACCAAACACTTCAATAATTGCAGCCTATAGGTTGGTCACTAATGCATCAATAAATTCAAGTAAAGATACAAATTTAAGTTATTTCGATTTTTTTATACAATCAGTTATTTTGAGCTATAGTCATAAAATGATCTTCTCAATTTTAATGTTATCCTAATAACTATCACATTCATTAGATCAAAATGGTGTTGGAAACATTTCCTATGCTTTAATGCATACCTAGTTTACTTTTCTACTACAGATATAACTTTTTAACAGCTCTTAAATAAAATTCCTATAGTAATGAGACTTAGTAGTAATACGTTTTTTGTTTATGCATCCGTTAATAATCGATTAATTCATAAACAACATTACCTCGAGGGCTCAAAATAAAGATGTGCAATGGGGTCTTAAAGAATCCCCAGTAGGTTTTTGTTATACTCGGTAGTAGCATTATTTGTTTTTGACGTTCGATCGCATGTTTGTCCCGATGCAATACATAGTATCCGAGTGTGAGCATCATAATAAGCGAAATCCACATAGAGATGTTCAAGCCTGAAGCCAAAGCTCCAAATAGTATGTTCATCGCGTTAATTTCGAGATGTATACGAGCCAGACAATGTACTTGGTTGTGAAAAAATATGTTCTTTGGGTCTCGCCTTAAAAAAATATATATGTATATTAGGGTGCACCAAAAAACATTTTTTTTGTTCTTTTCTTGACATTATGTTCCTTGGGGTAAAATAATAATTACCTATTTTTTTTCAGATTTTTAAAATTAATTTTAGAGGTTGCGAGCATCAGTTTTCCAAAAAAAAAATTTTTTTTTTTAGTTTTTTAGTTTTTTAAGGTATAAAATATATCAATTTTAATCAAAATGTTGCCTTTATTCAAAATCATCATTAAAAAAAGAGGAATAAACCAGTATTTTTTTTTTTACAAAAAAAACTACTATCCAACTAATTTAGGCCCTGGAATGTAAAATTTGCGAAAACATTGATGTATATATATATACCCTTAATAGTACCCTAAAATATTTTTTTAGGAGTATAAAAGTTTTTTAACTTGTTCCTCATTTAGTTGCAAAGAATTCCGATATACTTGCATAACACATTATTTTAACAATATTTTTTTTTATTTCCTACGTTAGCAAAGGCCATTATATTATATATATATATATATATAATAATAATATTGATATAATAAATATATATATATATATTATATTATTATATAATTATTTTTTTTTCTGATTTATTGTTAGAATAATGTCTTATGTGTTTGTATATACAATTTATGTACTTCTATATAAGGTTTTTTTTTTATTTTATAAAATAATAGAGTTTTTTGTTAATGACTTGTAAAAACTATGAACTAAAAAAATATATATTTGTTAAGTAACAGTATTCAAAACTTGTTTTTTGTTTTTTTTTAATTCATTTTTTTCTGATCTATTGTTAGAATAACGTGTTATGTAAATATATCGGAATTCTTCGCAACTAAATGAGGAATAAATTAAAAATATTTTATACCCCTAAAAAAAAATTTTAGGGTACTATTAAGGGTATATATATACTTTCAGCAATGTTTTCGCAAATTTTACATTTCAGGGCCTAAATTAGTTGGATAGTAGTTACTGGTTTATTCCTCTTTTTCTAATGATGATTTTATAAACAAGCAATATTTGTTTAAAATTGATATATGCTATGTTATATGAGATGTATAAATATAAATTATTATAACAATACAACTATTGGATGTATATTTTGTATTCATTATTTAAGAAGGAGACCTAAATCTAGGTGCACAAGCCAGGGATTATTTATTTTTTCGTATATATAGACATAGCAAACACATAAGCTTAAACAGAATAATATTATAAAGTTAAAAACTATTAAAGCCTGCACAATTTTTAAATCATTTTGATGTACAGTTTAAACTGCTCCATAGATATCTAACTTTCGGAATTTTAGTTCTAGAACATTTACCCAAAATAGCTAACCTAAGAAAACATTTCCCTCGGTAATGTTATAATTGTTAGAGTATATTGTTCTTCATTACCTTTTGCCTGTCCAGACAAATCATAGGAATAGTTGACTGATCGATTTGGACATTTAAAAATTGTAAAAATATTCAACATACAATGTTCAAAAGAGTAAGCTTCAATTTTCCAAAAAATTGTTTCATGCCAAAAAATAGAGTTGTGAAATTCTTAAGCCTAACGCAATATTTTATATAAAAAAAAATGTAATTGTTAGTTGTTGGTACAAACCGAACATTTGTCACTAACACACAAACTATAATAGGTATCTTTAAATAGAAATATTAGAATAAATGTTTAGGATAATCTGTATATTTACTGGTGCAAATGTCTTGTTGATGATTATTATAGTGCTAAAAAACAATCCAAGTGTTCATACCCTAAGATGACCATGCTCTAGATAAATTTAATCATAGTAATAATTGAAATTTAAGATGAATTTAATCCGTATAGTAATACTCACTTGTTAAAATGAAACAATCACAATTAGGTTTCTCGCCAAAGTATTTATATAGTATAATGTCATATAATATCAAACAATATCATATTATGGTGTAGGCCGTTGCGAGCCTTCTATTGTAATGACTTAAGTATATGAAAAATGGACTATTAAAACATTTAAATTCAAGTTTTATTAACTTTAAACACAATGGTAATATATTTGTTTTTACACAGAAATAATTATTTTAATTTGTTTTTGTTATTAAGCATTGAAGAATAAAAATTATAACTAAAACGTTTGAATTTCATTAAGAAAGCTTTGAGAAATATTCTACAGGTACTTGGTTTACGGTATACAAATGTATGTATGTATGTCGAATGAATATTAATAGTTGTGTAATTGTTATTTTTTTTTTTTAATTAATTTATTTATTTGTATCACTGTCTAATACTATTTTGTAAATTATACTGTAATGTATACAAAAATGTTTTCAAAAAGAAACACTAGAAAATTGCAATTGTTTTAAGATATATTGAGTTGCCACTATATTAATGACCTCTGTTGAAAGTTAAAAAATACTTAAACTTAATACATAATATTTTTAACCCAAAAATATGTATAATTTTTTACGTCCTTCTAATAATGTTTACATTAAAATAATATACACGTGCGAATATACTCAAATCCATTGTAATGTGTTCTTGACTAAAAGCAAACAATAGGTTTTCATAGGTAGGGTTGTTTTTTAACCTACATTATTAAAATTAATATTCGCCGACGACTTTGTCTAATGTAAAACTATGAAAATTGTTAACCTTATACAAACTATTCACAAATTATGCATAAAAAGTTGAGTAATTTCATCATTTCAAGATATTATTACTGTTTAAAGGTTTAACTGTGAAATAAATGATACAACTGTGTACGAATTAAATTGACCACATTTCCAGGTAAATGTTTAAAATCGTTGTGCCTAAACGCATAACGTCACTTCATATTTTAGGAAATTCGAAAATTCATACCTGATACGTCTTCTAGATATTTTCATTTCAGTTGTAAGACTTACCATCAATGAAATAACATACAATGAAATATATAAGCGGTTAATATTAAAAAAAAAAAAAAATTTCTTTTAAGTTAGATATTAATATTACTAAATTAGACGATCTTGTAAAGCAAAGACGAAGAAACAGAAGAAGTAAATAAATTGTTTAGAATTTGTCATCAATTAGACGACTTAAGAAGACGGATCGTATAATAACAATTAATAGATAAACCTAACCGCTCTTAATTCATGTTTTTTAAAAACACTAATGGGCGTGAGCTTAGAATCTCTAGAAGAACAATCGACCGATTACGTAAATGCAATAAAAACGTATTAGATACCTTTGCTTATTGTGAACTATTTAGAATTATCACACGATTTTATCTTCAAGACTTATAATAATTATCGACTTTTAATACTATAAATGCTCTTGCACATAATATTTTATTTTTTAACAAATATTATAAATGCAAAACAATATCAAGCCCACAATGCTTTTGACAATCATTTTCAACAGACAACATCATAAAGCTTCTAAATTATCCTGATACGACGAGGAGGGGTTTCGAAATTTTGTTCGATCAAATCACAGTATTGCAATGACAATAAATGATCAATGTACTTAACTTACTTTGAGATCTCATGACTCATGTCTCATGGAATAAAAAATTTGCGGAACATTGGATCAACATTGTGATCCAATGTTTTATATCAAAATTAGATAAACCTACCATCAGAAACACTGTTAACACATTTCCGTTTACTAATTTCGTTGAAATTATTCAATTTACTACCGAAAAAAGTCTAATTTTGTGAAAAATATTATGTGATTTACCATAAAAAGAAAGACATTTTAATATACAACACTTTTATGTATATTTATAACACAACAAAAGAACAAAATGACGCTAATTTTTTTCGTTTCTCACATCTGGTACACCGTTATTGTAGTTAAAAAAAAAAGTATTAATTAAAATCTCAAACTGGTACTCGAAGGAATTAGTGGAATTATAAAATCATCAACAATTATACCGCGTCAACGTATTAAGTTTGGTTTAATGTATTGTTATGTTCTACAGCAAGGTTTTAAGACAGTATAATATGGCTAATACATTATTTACAAATTTTAATTTTAATTTTAATACTATACATTATTTTTTTAAAAGCGGTGTTATCTTTACACTAGGCAAAGAAACGGCCCTTAACACCATCTCTGGAACAACGACAATATCTTTTTGTGTTCCTAGCGTTTCCAATTTCATGCATCTAACAACCGTTGATATTACAGTCTTCATTTGATACATGGCAAATTTCTGACCTAAAATGACAAACAGTACATTAATTTTAACGTATAAAATAACAATCCAAATGGGTTTTGTTGGATAATTTTGGTTCATTAATTATAATGTCGTACCAATACAGTTTCTCGGTCCGGCGCTAAACGGTATGTATCCGAATGGGTGTCGGTCGTTACAATGTTCTGGTAAAAATCGATCGGGATTAAATGCTTCTGGATTTGGATACATTGACTCGTCACGATGCAACAAATAAATAATGATGCCTACAACCGATCCTGCCGGTATTATGTGGTTTTCTAAAATATTAAAATTTCCATAATTCTGATTCGAGTATAAAAATTAAGTTTTTAAACATACTGAGGTGTAACGGTTGGTTAAGTTTTCTTTGTATGCCCGGAACACTAGGGTAAAGTCTCATGGTTTCCTTTATTACTCTCTCCAATATCGGCATGGCTCTAAGGTCTTCCATTGTAGCATCTCGATCGCTGTCTCCAAATATTCCATAAAGCTCTTCTCGGATGTCATCCTATTTTTTATGTTAGGAGTAAAATAAAATAGGCGATAATAGGTGTTTTTTTTTTAGATTGAAGTTTTTAATTGAGCTCATGTTGATCCCAGAATAAAATTATTTTCAGACAATCAAAACATCCTACTATGAATACCATTAACCACAAAAGACTTATCGATTCCATTATAGCTTGGACGGCTAGTAATGTTGGTAGTTTTGATTTCTCTATTAGTTCCCTAGTAGTTTAAGTAGTTTTATGAAAATAGGAAACTTCTTAACGTCCCTACAAGTCTTTTCAATTTTAGTTCACATTGAAAATATTAAAATAAATTAATGTATTATTATAATTTTTCAAATATACCATATTCTAATTTCATTTTAGATCATAGTTAATTATATATTATTAGACTTAGCACCTGAATGTTTTGATTCATGCCGATGTGAATCAACGCCATTGTCATTGCTAATGAAGATGTATCGTGTCCTTCGAATAGAAAAGTGTCTACTTCTTCCCGAATGTCAGCGTCTGTCATTGAGCTTGGATGTTCTTTGGAAATACCGATTAATAGGTCCAGGAATGAATATACTTTTTTTCTTTCTGTAATGTGTTTCAAATATAGAAAATAAAAAACAATTAGTAGTAGCTGTGACAAACAAACCTAAACCATTAATACCGGCCATTTCAGTTTTGGCGTCATTAAGTTTTTGTTTTCTTTCCTGAATAACCTGAAATTATATTTTTGTTCAAATAAAACAAGTACACGTCGACTGTCTGTTGTACAGTGCTATAATTACGTTTTCAGTAAATGTGTGCAGTACTTTTAATGATTTGTAAAATTCTCTGCCGGTAGTGCTGATTTTGAAAATCGTATCACTCCAAAGCCATAGTGTAAACATTCTTTTCATGATTATACGACTCACGCTGGTAAAACAAAACTTACATTAATTACGTTTAGTAAAGTTTTAGGTACTTTTACAATGACAACATATAAATTCATATATATATTTATTAATTGTTTGCACGAGTAGACATACGTTTTTATAGCATTTACGTAATCGGTCGATTGTTCTTCTTGAGATCTTAAGCTCACGCCCATGATTGTTTCTACAAAAACATGAATTAAGAGCGGTTAGGTTTATCTATAATTTACTAAGCATAAAAAATATGATTGTTATATACTATCCATCTTCTTAAAGTCTCCAATTGATGACAAATTCTAAACAATTTATTTACTTCTTCTTTGTCTTTGCTTTACAATCCAAACTACATGAGGTCTGCAACTCTGTTCCTACAGGCTACACCTCCATAGAACTTGATTCCGTATTCTCTCGTTCCTGCTACGTTCATTTTTAAAACATCTCTCACTGCTTCTGTCTCATCTCTCCTCAAAACATGACCGAACAATCTTAACCTATTGTCTTTTATTTTCCCCACAATAGATGCAACTCCTAGACTTCCACTTTTCTATTAATTTCCTATTCTATCCATCTTAGAAACTCCGTTCATCCATTTTACCATTCTCATCTCCACTACACTCATCTTCTGCCCTGTATTCTGATCCATACAGCATTGTTGGCCTCACTATCTTCTTATAAAATCTAACAGTCACACAAAACACCTGACGCTCTTCTCCGTCTTTTTCATCCACAATTTATCCTCAGTCCTTTTCTTTAACTTCACTCTTCAAGTCTCTCACTCAATTCTTCCGGAATTTTCCCCACTATGTACACATGCATGTAGCATTATTTATTATACCAAAGGATAATGATAGAAATAGTAGTTTACCGCACACAATATCTAAACCACATAAGGTCATGTGAGAATATAGGTCCGTAATGTGTTCGTCGTTTTTCGACGCCTTGGCAAGGTTTTGCACCAAAGTGTGTGCATGCTTGTTGAGAACGGGTATGTATGTTCCTAATATTTTGAAGTGGAACGTATTGGTCAGTAACTTTCTTCGCGTTTGCCATTTTTCATCTGGAACACATTATTGTGTTTAATACAATCGTCGAATAATAGAAATAGGGCATTCGACATACCGGTGCTGGTCAAAAGCCCTTTGTTTAACCAGGGCTCGAGCAACTTGTAATCCGGTCCTTTGGTAATATGTTCAGTACTGGACAATAAAAGCTATTAAAAAAAAAATTATCTTTAATATATTATTACAAGGAGCAACGAATATATAATGATAAATGCCGACCTTTACGTCATTGGGATCGTTTAATACGACGTAGTCATTTGTTATAATTTTGAAATGCACCAATGGTCCCACTCTTTTAAACACGCTGGAGAAATAAGGGAAAATATCTGAAATTGGTAACAGAGTAATTACTTTTTATATGGTATTAATTAGTTCATAGTAGATGAATATTGCTATTGACACCTATGCGTGAAGAACTTTCATCGAACCTCATTCTGCTTTTAACGATTTCGATACTAGAAAAGTGACCTCTGAATCTTCAATTAAATTTAATAATTTGTTTCGGGTATAGCACTTTAATTCAAACAATAGTAAAAATTGATGAGTTAAAATTGTAATAAGGATATAATAACATAGTAGCTGTGAGGATATAACTTTTTGATCAACAATTTTCGTTTATTAGCCTTTTCTGTATATGTTGTGTAATTTTTAAAAAAACTATTGAGATTTACCCTTGAGATTACATTCAAATAATAATAGAAGACATTACCTATGCTTTAATGCATTCCTAATTGAGGAGTGACAACGCGAAACGTGCTATTGCCAAAAATTATCAAAATTGAGTTATACATCAATTCTTATAGTAAAAATGGCGGGGAATCGAATGAGGTTGTCAGATTTGTCCAAATCATACTATTTTCCATGGTAATTTACAGCTATACTAATTAAATTATTTGCAAAACGTACTATTTCCGAGTGGAATAAAATGTAGTTGATATTTAAATTTTATTTGTTAATTATTTAACGGAAATATAATATGGGACACTAGTTTTTTATTTTATTTACCAGTTGGTGCAATTAATAAAATTCGGTTACCGTTTTGGGGGTAATTATATTGATAACACATTTTAAAAGTTCACATCATGACTATTATGTGATAACACACTATTTACCATGCAAGTACTCACAGATTTTGTCTATTGATTTAAGATTTTTACAAAATATATTCAAAACAAAATTATCAAAGATGTTCAGCTCAAAAACTTTTAAAATGGTCGTGAATGGTTTTAATACAATTTATGTTTCATGATTATATATATTTAAGAATAATGTTGACCCCACAAAAGAAGATATTCCTTGTTTTTGATGACGACAACGAATGAATATATTTTTTCAAATATTCTTAAGATTTTTTTTTATTAAATTATTATTTTGTAATTATTTTATTTTACTATTTGTTTCCGTTTTTTATAATTTTTTAAAATACAATTAATGTGAATAAACCAAGGTTAATTAATGTCTTATTTTAATTTTATATTTGTATTATTATGCATTTTTTTTATAGAATGTAAAATAAGGTTTTATAATTTTTAAGATATTACGAATCATATTGTAACAAATTTACAATCACGGAAAAAACTACGTATGAAATATTTTAATTTTCAGGAAATAGTTAATTATGAAAAAAAATAAATACATATTAGTTTGCTACGTGAAATAAATAATATTAATATTATTTACATATATTATGTAAATTATTATACTATTTGTTGGGAATAGTACGTTACGATGAAATATGGCCAAAACGTATCATTTCCATTGAATTTTGCCAAAACGAACAAAGTGGTGGAAATAGTACGTTTTGGCGCGATCCTTTTTACAAAATTATGTTTTTAATGTATCTAAATTTAAATTTACATATCAACAATTATCGTAAATAAGTTCAGATTTTTTTTTTATTAATTTTTAGAATATTACAGTTTTTTTCTATGACTTTCCTATAAGCTACAACAGAAGCGAAAAATGGCAAAGCACGTTTTGCATTGTCGCCCATCAATTTACTTTCTTACTCCAGTTTTTTTATCAGTTGTTACATAAAATACATACAGCAATATAGTGTCTGCGCTAAGTACAACTACATAATATGTTCGACTAGGCATCCATTAATAATTGATTAATACTTAACATTTCATAAATATTATTACCTTGAGGACTCAGACGAGCGACGTGTATTATGGTTACTATCATTTCCAAGTAGGTTTTTGTTGTGGTCGGTAGCAGAGATATTTGTTTTTGACGTTTATCCGGATACATTGCGTAGAATCCGAAAATCACCAACATGACGAGCGATATGGAGATTGTCAGACCCGAAGCAAAACCTCCGTAGAATATGTTCATGACGATCATGGCGAGACGACTCTAGATCCGAGATCTGTTAACTTTGATACGTGATCGCAGGTTTGCGCTGAAATGTATTATGTTATTTTGGTCTCGCCTTAACAAAAAAAATACATACGTGTATTATATTAGTTAAGAGAAATACTAGTATTGGTAAAAATAAACACAAGTATCAACACAAGTAAACCGATGGATTTTATCTACATATTGCGAAGAACACAGCAGTGACTATTTTTTTTTTCATGATTCTTGTAGTAAATGTGAAGAGCTTAAAGTTAGAATATTAAATCACCGCATCTTAATGAAACTGCGAAATAGCGGACTGCTGTAGCAGAGTTGATCTCGTTAAAATATATTAGAATTTTTTAAGTTTAAGAAAAAAACATTGTACTCTTCGTGATATTGTAATATCATACCTCTATGATACAGGGTCTGGCAAAAAAACCTCCCCTATTTAGAAATAGGTGGGAAATTTCTAAATAGGGAGATTTTTTTGCCGTACCCCGTATTATAGAAATTATGATTTTAATATTATTATTAATTATATTAATTGTGCTAATATTTTTTTAATAAAACACCGATTCGACGAACTTACATAAGTTTATATTATTTTTAAATTAAAAAAAAAATGTTAGTATTTGTCAAAAGGGACCTATGTTACAAAAATATTTTGGCTATTTATAGAAACACAAAATGTTTAAAAAAATATTTTTCTTCGCTAATTATTTTTAATACATTATTATTCAATCGAAATTGCGATGATTGATCTAAATAAGCAAATTTGTAAAGAGCAAAATAGTTTTTTTTCACCTGAAAAATTGTTAAAAAGTTCCTTTAAAACCAATTCCCATTCACTGTTATACGCTGGGTTATATGAAAAATATAAATTATTATAACAGTACAACTATTGGATATAATATTTCTATTAATTATTTAAAAAGGAGACCGAAATCTAGATGCACAAGCTTGGGATTATTTATTTGTTTGTATATATAGACATAGTAAACACATAAGCTCGAACAGAATAATATAAAATTACAAACAATAAAAGCCTGCACAATTTTCAAATAGTTTTTGTATACCATTTAAGCTACGCCGTAGATATCAAACTTTCAGAATCCTACTATTAGAACATTTCCTAAAATAGTTAAATTAAGAAAACGTCCCCCCCCCCGGGTAGTGTGATAATTGTTAGGCTATGTATTTCATTGCCTTTTGTCTGTCGAGAAAATCATAATTGAAAATCAATGAGCTGCTCATGACGGTGTAAGTTTAATACCAAAAAGTAGAGTTGTGAAATTCTTAAGTCTAATGCAATATTTTTTACAAGAAAAATGTAGCTGTTAGTTGTGTGGTACATACTGAATATTGTGTTACTAACACACAAACTAAAATATCTTAAAATACATAATATATATTGGCATAAATGTTTGGATTATCTGTAAATTTACTGGTGCCAACGTCTCGTTGATGATTGCATAGTGCCAAAAAACAATACAAGTGTTCAGTGTATGATTCAGGTGAGTCTTTAGGTAAATTTAACTATATACCAGTTATAACTGTAATTAAATATGAATTTAATCTGCATAGTAAAACTTACTTGTTGAAACGGAACAATCACAATTGGGTGTCTCGCAAAAGTAACTATTTATATGGTATAATAAAATGTATAATATAATATCAGACCCTATAATATAACATCATATTATGGTATACCAACGACCTGTTGCGAGTTTGAAATACGAACAGTGACTTCCTGTTACAATGGCTTCAATTGTACGTTTTTATTGTTAATTCTTTATTATTTATTTTTTTTTTTTTAATTAAAATCGAGGTTGTTTGTAAGATGTCTAATAATATAGCAGAATAGAATTATATTGTTTTTATTCAAATTAAATTCGTTTTTGTTATGTTAATTTTTGTGTATAACAAAAACAAAGCCCGTGAATTCCTCTCCCTCTTACATAAGAACAAAAAAAAATATGATTTGCACGATTAAACGCTATCTCTTATAAATATGTAATATGATATCTATGTAGTATATATTCTCTTAACCGAGTACAAACCAGAACTTCTTCTTCATTTTCGCCATACACTGCCTACAACTACTTGGGGGGTCGGCCACCCTAGCCCTACACCTAAATATACCTCATCTTCTCATCTCATCTCTTTCAATCACCCCAGTACTGTCCTGTACCACTGTCCATCTTTTCTTCGGTCTTCCTCTCTGGAAACTCTTTAATATGCATTTTCTAAATCTATAAAAACAAACATGCACGGTTTTCTTTTCTTCTGCCTGTATTTCTCCACAATCTGTTTTGTTAATAAACAATATTTTCAAACCATTTCAAAATAAACAGTATAATTTAGTTGACGGTTTCATGTGTATTCATCAATATACCTATTTAATCATTTAAATGGAGTTAATGTTTTTACACTCCAGAAACACATAGCTTGTGACCCAAAAATCTATCCTAAACCATTTTTTTTTTAAGAATAAAAATAAATCCTAGCTAATTTTCTATTTGATTACGACCATTATGTAAATTCATTTTTGTTAAATTATTATATTATCAATTAAATTTGTTTCACTGTAGGAATAATGACAAATGTAATTAAAACCACAATGTTCGAGAAAATAAATTTAAATACACCGACTATTCTTTTCACATCATATTAATTTTATATTTTTTTTGGGAGTTTTTTTTTTTTAATTAAGTATGGCGTCACACAATTATTAGGTTGCTCGAAAAAAATTGCAATTAAAACCTACTACCGCCTTATTTTCATTATAATCTAAATAGTTAACCAGCAAGCTAAAAAAAACTCCACGTATAATGTACAATAATGAGTTTACACATTTGATGAGCAACTTTTTTATATTGAGTATTTGGAGAACAATAGAAAAGACAACCTCGATAACCCTTTGTTGGGTAAGCAGAAGTTATTTTATGTAGGTAGATTAGGTAAAAAAGAATGGCACAGACTTGCGTTACAGGTTCAAATATCATAATTTATTGTATTTTGTAATTTAGATAATACTATTGTGTCACGCCTGTCCTGAGCATAACAATGGAAATAATAAATTCCTATCACTACCTACTTTTTGTTTTAGGCCTTCGAGATAGAAAAAATTATTTCAATGACCTAGATGAGGAACTATTTTTAGAAAGGTGTAGACTATTATCTAAACAGTGTATTAAACAACAATTATTTATGTATGAGCAAACGTCAAAATAAAGTAAAATAAAATATCAAATAACAACAAACTGATAAATTAAATAGTACAATAGTTGCTTATCAGTTATCACATATCTTGATAGCCAATGAGAACGTTGGAATCGAGGTAACCGCTTTGGTAACCAGGTTAACGTATTGGTAACTTAACAAATGGAATTTAACAATAATAATGTTACGGTGAAACTTACACTTCGTTTAACCAGATGTCAAATTTAAATTAATTGTCAATTAACATTGTGTTAAAAGTATATTTACAACAATAGTGAAACCGGCTGAAAATCAAATAAACGCAAGTACAAATAAATTCAAACCGAGTTAAACGTTGTAGGTGGTTATTTTTGTTTCAATGTGGTAACTTTTAGGTGCAAATACAACTATAAAATTCTTAAGACTAATGTGATATTTTATTACAAAAATGTAGTCTTTATGAAATGAAAATGTGGTCTCTAGCATTTCTAAAAACTATTTTCTAAGAAAATAAAAGTGTTATGACGTTTGGATTGTCTGTATGATCTCGTGCAAATGTTTTGTTGGTGAATATAAAGTGCTAATAAACAATACTAATAATACGAATTTATTCTTTATAAATGTAAAACTTACTTGTCGAAATGGAACAATCACAAATTTGGTTTCTCGCTAAAGTATGTATAATATATTATTATGTAGTACAATATTATAACATCATTATGGTATAGGCCGTTGCCAGTTTAAAATACAAATAGTAACTTTCCGTTATGATGGCTTATTTTTTACGTTTTTTTTTTAATTTCGAATCGAGGCGCCTTTAAGAACTTAATATTAAAAACCCTTAGCTATAAATGAATATCCACTCTCTGTGTATACTTGTTTCGGCAACAACGTTGCCATCTTCAGCAACGCTAACGACGGACTGAGATTGATTACCGGCGAACACCTGCATATCATCAGATCTGTAAAATTAGTAAAAAAAAAAAAAAAAATGCAAATAACTCTAAAGAACTTAACATTAGGGAGGCAATAGAAATGTTGAAAATAGAAACAGTTTGCTAGACTGGCACTTAAGTCCACTATAAAACAATACTATAAGAATACATAAGGATATATTAGGATACAAGGTGATCAACTTACAACTTACTCAATATCACACTGGGTTTAATCAATAATTACATTTTTTTTTTTTCCATAATTTTTTTGTACAATGTGACCTCAATTATTTCATAAATGAAATGTATGCGTTACCATTTAAGTTTTAAAAGTTTCTATAATAAAAAAAACTAAGTTGACAGGTTGGTAGGAATAAAAAAAAAATGTCAGAAATTGAAATCACATTGTATAAAATCATTATGGAAAAAAAATATATTAAATTCTTAATTAAACCCAGTGAGATATTGAGTAAGTTATAAGTTGATCACCTTGTATCCTTATATATCCTAATAAATCCATCACCTTGTATCCTTGTATCCTATCATATCCTATTATATCCTTATATATCCTAATATATCTTTATATCCTTATCATATACTTACCGTTACTTATCATATACGTTATCCAATCAAGTTCTTTGTCGAAATCGTTGTTTAACATAGCAATGCTGACTAACCTGAAAACCATACTATTAAATGCCGCCATCTTATTGTGCCAACCGTGATTTGAACTTTTCGGAATCGCCTAAATTATTGTCCATTCTTTTTTCTACATCAAGGTATGTACCTAATTGTTGTTTGTTAATTAAATTATTCAAAGCCAAAGGAATAATATAAATATGCAAAATCGTTATCGATAAATCTGATAAAACTTGTATTTTCATTGAATTTAATTGATTGCATTCATTTTCACACGGTAATAGCTGGTCTAGTTTGGTTTTGTCGTTGTGCATAAATCGAAAATAATTATAATTCGGACGTTTGTATGGTAAAACATTTTGTAATATTATGCGTAGTATATATATAGTTAATAGTATTGAGTATACATGGTAATTTACAATATATGTACTCTATGTTAATAGGTTTAAAGCGTTGTATCTCAAATGTATTAAAACTATATCTGAGTTATTCAGTAAATGTTTGTTAAAATACCTATATGCCTGTACAAAGATATTAATTACTAACTGAGGTAAAACTCAGTTAAGTTAGTTTGGTTTTGTCGTTGTGCATAAATCGAAAATAATTATAATTCGTACTTTTTTGGATAGCAAAAGATTGGATTTATAATATTATGCGTAGTATATTATATATTATAGCTAATAGCTATACTATTAGAACGACGATTTATTAACATTAAATTACATATATTATTTACCCGTGACCTTGCCCTCTGTGTGATTATGATTATGTGTTATTACTTAAACCGAAACCCAATTATCGACCAAAGTAATTAACGCGGAAGTTGGACTTTGCAACAATTATTAAATATTTCACACGAGAGACGGAGGTGTGCTTATCGCGGTAAAGAACAAGTTTCCCAGCCAGCAGCCGACGACTATCTCTACACGGTAATATTTAATTGGGCCACTTTTCATAGAAATAACTCTTTTTTTTTTTGTTAATTATAGGCACGGTGTCTTTGCCCTCGAGTTCTGATTCTTCAGTATATAATAATCATTTCGATGCCTTTGATAATCACATCCAATGCACAACATTGATCAAACTGAAAATTTTATTAATATTAGGCGCGACTATGATCTGCCAAGTATCAAATAGATTTCTGTAAATAATAATTACTAGGCCAGTCGATAAAGATAAAATTTTGGCAAATAGCGGTGTAACAGAGTGCATATATATATATATTTTTTAATGTTGCCTTATGGTTTGAAATCGTTAGTATACACTTTATAATATTTTATTTCCTCGGATAAGAGAACGTTTAAACGTAAGTTGTAGCGTTTGCAAAAAAAATATTACAAATGATGGAATATAATATACAATATCAATATTTATCATCTTAAAGTTATTTTAGTCGGAGAGGGCATCGACTTGTTGGTGCTTCTTGGCGCTTGAACTCCGAGAGAAAATAATATATTTTATTTCTTAAAATCCAGTTCTGGTAAAAATTGAGGAAAAAAAAAACGTTTAGTACTAAATTTTTACAAACTAACAATGAAACGATAAAAAATTCAAATAAATTTGGCGCCACTTGCTCCTATTACTAATGAAGCAATTTACTCGGCATTCTTATAGAGTGTATATTCAAGTTCAACTACGGTTAGGGAATAAGGGAATAATCCAGAAGAACGGAGCTGGAAATTTCAAAATAGTATATTGACTCCAATAATAATTACTACACTCAAAGCACCACCTGCACCCGATAGTTTACTTAAATGTACAACTTGTAACAGCTGTGTTATATTTTGTAAGTTATTGACAAAAACTCAAAATTTTTTAACTTTCCGGAGCAGGAAAAAAAGCTTCCGTCGGACTTTTAGTATATTAAAGTATATATTATATCAATAAAACTTAAAAAACAAAAAAATGTTTGTTGGGAATTCTTTCTTTATTGACTGGCCTACTTGTTAGTCCTAATTTATCTAATGTAGAAAACAACTTCGATTCGAATATTTTAAGTAGATTTAACTTACCACACCGCATAATTTAGTGCTATAATCGCTTTGGTTCAATGGTGGATTTAGTTTTTCGAATTTAAATAATGTAAGTGTGTCCTCTGTAATGTGTCCCCTTGCAGTAGGTACCATTAGACAGGATGTATCGCCCAGCATTTTAATTGAAACATTAGTCTTATTATCTCAATCTCTAAATTATAAAAAAAAATTTTTTTATGACTTTATGCATTGCAATTACTATAATATGAGATCACATATTGCTTCATTTGACTGAAATGGTACTAAATGTATATCAACTTTAATTGATATAATATTAGAAGATCTCAACCGCTTAATGCAATACCAAGTATATTGTTCAGTGAGTGTAAATTCGTCCTTGTCTAGAGTTGCTTTCAAGCTTAAGCTTTCTGGTCCCTAATCGGAGTACTAGACCACAAAATACATTTTATATACCATTCCAGTCTAGCAATTATGGTCAGAGATATGATTAGAGGTATGGAATTAGTTAATACATTTCATATTGATTTATTTTCTGAACATAGCTATTGTTATTTATATTTAAATAATTTAATAAAATAGTATATTTAACTATAGTGTGTAAGAAATATCCAAGCACCTATGATTAAATGTATTTGTATATGTTTAATTTGTAATTAACTTAATCAACTTGATACCAATGTATACTTAAACATTTTAACCTATTTAATAAGTGTGTAGTAACCACAAAGATTCATCTTAGAAAATTGTACGATACCGGTCATTGTATATTTTTTTTATTTGGCATTTTTGCCCGTCCAAATAAATACCTAAATAAGGATACAAGGTGATCAACCAATAACTTACTCAATATCTGACTGAGTTTAATTAATAATTGAATATTTTTTTTTTCCATAATGTTTTTACACGATGTGATCTCGTTTTTTTCATAAATGAAATTTATGCGTTACCATTTAAGTTTTAAAAGTTCCTATAAAAAAAAAAAACTAAGTTGACAGGGTGGTAGGAACAAAAAAAATGTGAGAAATTGAAATCACGTTCTATAAAAAATATTATGGAAAAAAAAATATTAAGTTCTTAATTAAACCCAGTGAGATATTGAGTAAGTTATAAGTTGATCACCTCGTATCCTTATATATCCTAATATATCCATCACCTTGTATCCTTATATACCCTAATATATCCATCATCTTGTATCCTTTTATCCTTATATATCCTGTTGTATCCTTATATCCTTTTATATTATTATATCCTTATCATATACTTACCGTTACTTACCGTATACGTTATCAATTCAAGTCCACTATCGAAATCATTTTTCAACATAGCAATGCTGACTAACCTGAAAACCATACTATTAAATGCCGTCATCTTATTGTGCCAACTGTGATTTGAACTTTTCGGTTATTGTCCATTCTTTTTTTCTAAATCAAGGTATGTACCTAATTGTTGTTTGTAAATTAATACTCAAAGCCAAAGGAACAATATAAATCAGCAAAATCAGTTACCAATAAATCTGATGAAATTTGTATTTTCGTTGAATTTAATTGAATTAATTAACATTGTATTCATTTTCACACGGAAATAGCTCGTTTAATTTGGTTCTGTCGTTGTGCGTAAATAAAAAATAATTATAATTCGGCCGTTTGTATGGTAAACCATTTATAATATTATGCGCAGTATATAATATAGTTAATAGTAATGAGTATATATGGTAATTTACAATATATGTACTCAATGTTAATAGGTTTAAAGCGTTGTATCTCAAATTTGTTAAACCTAACCTTATGCAGACTATTACACAAGGCTATACACACAAGAAGTCGAGTAATTTATTATCATTTCATAATATTATTAGTAGTTTAAACGTTTTACTATAAAATGATAATTGGTAGAACCATTCTAGTATGGTTTAATTGTAAATATTTAAAATCATAACACCTTATCTATTTCTCGTTTTGTAAATGCTTCATTTTTATGTGTTTACTGCACTCTATTGATAACGGTCGTTTTGAAAATCGGTAGTTCAGTTATTTTGTCCGACAGATGCCGATGTAACAAAATACATATTAACCATAATCAATATAATATTATGATATCAATATAAATAACCCAATGCATATTATATGCATACTTACATAAGGAATAAAAACATAATATTATGCTGCCACACATTACTTTGACGGTTTTAAATACTGGAAAATATCGTTGCATACCGTTTATAAATATTATATATTTACTTGTAAGACACATTATATTCATCCAGCTACATGTTATAGATTAATCTGAAATAATTGTTATTTTCTTACACATCTCTACTGTTGTAAAAATGAGCAATAACCGTCTATGTACATGATATTTTAATCTGTTACATAATTTACCGTTTCTGATTGGTTTAGATTCTTTAAATCAACAAAGTATATCAGACGACGGACGTTGATATCATTCCTGTGATATGTCTAAACATTTTCAAATAACTATAAATACTTCTCTAAGCATAACGTGACATGGACATGTGAGCAAGTCATGGAAGGCCCACTCAACCTAACGTTAGGCAAATTGGTAAATTCAGATCAATTTTACTACCACACGATGAACAAATACAAATTGCAAGAGGCAAGTTCAATTGAACAAAACAATTGTACATAATTTATAGCAAATGTAAAACCATTACTATTTTTATTTTTAGATGTTTGACAATCTCATACCTTTCCTGGATTATACCAAAAGCCGACTCTTCGTCTATAGTTTCTACATATGTTGTGTAACATATAAATTTATAAATACATAGATAAAATGTGTAAAAAAAAAAAGTTCAGATATTGCTAAAATATATATTGTCAATATTGTAAAAAAAAGTTGTAATTATTTTTTGGCAGAAAATCGAATATACTATGTTTTAAGATATTTCCTAATTATTATTAACAGTGTGTCATAATATTGAAGACATATTTTTTTTTAAATATTTCATTTCCTCCTAAAATGGGCTTTTATTATTAAAAAAATCTTACAAAAATTCTTCAAACAAAAATCCTCATTCAGTATGAAATTTAGCAAAAAAATCTGTATTAAGCTCGTTTTTTGCAATCGCGATGGCTTCGAAATAATGAAGATTTTTAAATAACGCTTTTAGTTATTAATTGTTGTCGATTTGTTTTTAATACATAGCATAAAAAGAGCGAATTACTCTTCAAGTACGATTCCTGATCTATAGACTTGTATATAAATAAATCAGTCCTGAGGCTTAGGATATATTATCATGGCATGGGTCCGGACACACGAAAAAATAAAAACACATAATTGCAATAATAACCCATTTTTTTTCAGCTCCTCGACAAAGCTAAAACAATATCGTTACCGTTGCACGAACACCACCAATCCGTTACTCGTTTGGGAGTCGTTAGTTAATAAATGTTTCATCACTTTAATGTCCATGGTAAACGATTAATGCTATTTAAAAAAAAAACATGACAGCTATACATGGAAATTTGTACATTATAAAATAATTACAACGCGGTACAACGGTTACGCGTTTAAACAACTGCGGCGGCAGGCTTGTCTATGAATAGGTTTTTATTTTGAAAATATTTTGAATTAAACGTGAAAACAATCACCCTGTATGATTTGTGGTGGAGTGTGTGTGTGTGTGTGTTTACACCTTCTCGACCAGCGATTCCGGTACTTCCGGTACCGCTTTTTCGGCTTCCGGCGGGTCGACTTCTGCCGCCGTGTCCTTGCCCTTGTCGTCGTTGTCGTCGTCGTCGTCTTCGTCTTCGTCGTCGACTATTGTTATGTCTCGGATCGACCGTCTTGGCCCGGGTCGCCATTGATCGCCGTTGGGCGCCGCGTGTTTGGCTTTGGTCAGCAACCGCGAGCCGGTCAGCGATATGATGAGCGCCCCCGTGGGAGCAGTCAACAAGATGGATATTATGCACACCATCACGATGGTTCGGGCGTAGACCACGTTTTGGGGTTTGCCATCTTGCCGTGCTGCCTCCAAGACGGCTGGCCCCAAGGCGGCCTGCAAAACAAACATGTCTGTGGTCATACTACTAAATCATAGAAAAAAATATACACATAAAATCGTATTAACGACAAAAGCACATTTTCAGATGAGCTACTAAGCTACAGCGAATCTACTGGACTGCTCGAGATCACCAGCATCACCGCCACCGACGGAAAATCCCTTCGTAGATTCGAGTCTTTATCTGGAAATGTACATGATCACGGTCATGCAATCGTTGGGCTGAGGTTAACAATGTGTTATCCTCTATGGGATATTACCGAATGAGTTAGATCCAAGATCCAAGAGTGACACAATAATATATTGCCGACATTTGAATGGAATCTCGGTTTAACGCCATATTTTTAAAAATTGTGAGGGAGATAGGTTCACTATACGAGACACAGGAGTCTTGTTTTGTGTATAACTAGTCTTGTGGTCACTCTTGAACTCTTCCATTGTACAGATACGTACCAAAGCACAATGGGAAAAGAAACGAAGATCATAAGTGTAGGAACAGATATAATTTATTCACCGCCGAAGGTGGCCAATTTGTGTAAAACGAAAGAATTTGTTTTTAACGGCGGTAAGTCTATTGAAGCAGTCGAAATAAAAGTGAAAACGGCAGTGTTGAGATGAATGTGTAGTGGAGTGACTATATCAGACCGCGAGCAAGAAATAAGTAAATAGGATATATTTGCTCCACTATAAGTTGAAAGAAAACAAACTTTGGGATGCTTTGGGTATGATGAAGTGTAGAGGAGGAGTAGAGATTGACCGGAGAAGAAATGTCTTGGTGTGATAAAGATGAACATGTGTAAAGTATTATTATCGGTAGAGATAAATTTAGCTAGTTAATTCCATTTATACGGGATAAACCGAAGGAGAAGAAAAAATACCCATCGACTTGACCAACAATTTTTGTGTGTTTACCTGTACGGAAGCTTTGGCCATCCACGACAGGGCAACAAACAGTTTTTCTTTAAAGTTCAACGAGCTGCCAGTAGCCGCCAATATGGTCACGCAAATTCTCACCTGAAATAAATTTAGTCGGTATTACATTCACAGACGCTGGAACGAGTTAACGGGTCTTATGCTTATGCTTTCAGAAGTTGTACGGTCATGATAATAATATTATTGTCGTTGTTCCCTGGGCCGTATTTAAGCCGTCCATCTTCGTCCAACCGCCTTGCCGTCAAATCGCTTTCTACTCTCGTCTCACTCTCTATATAAGCCGCTTAGACTCTCAGCCATCAGACATATTGTATTCATATAAATCGAGTTAACAATAATAATAATAATATGCTCTCGGCACTGCACGTACCACAAAAGCGACGGCCACGCAAGCAGCTCCAATCGACACGATACTATAGTCGAGGTCGTTGAGAACGATTTGCGTGCCGGTCAGTCCGAACAACACCGGCTCGAATATCATCCAAAATATTTCAAAGGCCGTGGCCACCGCGTTCTAGGACACAATAATTATAAAAAATCATTTTTTTTTTTTTGTACACTGTTTTCGCTTGGTTTTTGTACACTTGTAAACTCGACTGTCGTGCACTTACGTCTTCAATGTTCCAACCTTGCTTGGTCCAGAAGTAAATGGAAGTAAATGCGGCGCTGATCACGGCCAAGGGCCCGGCGCCTTCAAAGCTGGTGTCTTCACACCCGAGTACCGCCAGTATTCCACCACCGCTGAGCATCAGTATCCTCAAGGGCACGACATATGGCTATGGAGAATAAAAACAAAAATAATATGATTATTATTCCTTTGAGATCGTGTGATAACCCCGCGGAAATGCACCGCCATTCCGTGTTGTGCAAAATTTCTTCACGCCCACGGATATTGAAAAATATCACACTGTAGTAGTACATTTGTGGTGGGTAACTGTTATTTTTTATCGCAATATATTATAATATCACTTACGTCACTGCGTTCTGGTATGTATTTGACGATAAAACCCCACAACACGCCGTAAACTATGCCGATCACTATCGATATCGGACTAACCAGTAAGTTGTACGCCACTGAATCTGCTCGAAAAAAAATAAACAATCGTTCGTTATCGAGGAAAATGCTTGTTTTTTGCAATTAAAGATGACTCTAAAAAAAAAAACAGAATCTTTCTTCGGCTGATTCTCTTGTCGATGACCTCTACTTTGTCCACACAGAATTTCCTGGGAATGGGATAATTTCATCCCATTCCTTCCTCTGCCTTGTGATCGTTTGTGTCGCAAAAGCGTCCGGGCAATTTTTGGATCTTCGCCCACAAGACACAGCCACATATACTAACTACGACAATATAGAGGAGGAGGCCACAATAAACATACGCACTTGTCCCCATGATCATGCTGCTTGCCACGCCGAAAGCCACCACCGAGGCGGCGTCGTCTATGCCGGCAACAGCTATGATAAGCGTGGGAATACCTTTGGCCACGCCGTATCCTTTTGTTCTCAGACGGAACAGACACGGCACGACGACGGCCGGAGCGACGGCCGCGATGATCGACCTGAGGAAATACATTAAATTTTATCGTTTCAGTGGTGTATTAGAATATGAAATTAGGACCCCCGCAAATACCCGCAGAGCGCGGCCCATTGCCAAGGTAGATCTAGAAAATAGTAAGTGGCCAGAGCGATCACGGCCGCTTCGACGATCCAAGGGATCAACGCCAGTATCAGCACCCTGAAGTACAGCTTCTTCAGCACCTTCGAGTCCAAATCCAACCCGGCTCTCGTCAAGATCACCACCAGTGCGATTTTTCTAAAAACAAATCAACCACACAACGTCACATGTCCGTTGGACATTATTATTATTATTTGTAATAATATCTCTAGTCGGCACTGCCCTGCCGACGTCGTACTAACCTCAAAGTGGACACGAGCGTCGAATACGAGCCTTGAATGTGTATGAGTCCGAAATTTTGAAAAATCATGCCCACCAACAGCATGCCTATTAACGCCGGCAGGGTGAGCATGCGGAACACCCAGCCACCGATGTACGCCGTTATTACCAGTATTGCGATGTTGAACAGCTGTCCGCCGGGTTTAGCCTCGGCGCCTATCAGTGTGTACACGATGCCCCAAAGAAGCAATCCGGTAATGAGCAACGACAGCACCCGGGCCACGTGCCGGTACGACGGACAGAACGGGTATGGGCATCCTCTGGACCAGTACTTGGGTTCCCAGCCAGCTCCGACTTCTTTTTTCCGACATTGCAAGCACAGCACGTACCACCAAGAGCTGCAAGAGTGTTGGCAACATTATTGTACACACACAAAAGCCAAAATAAATTGCTCGAGGAGGTCACACGGTTAAAGCGGATAGTATAAATTATCAAATCATTTCCTCGGAGAATTGCACATTGGATCACGAGAAACGCCCGATGATCAGCTATAACTTTGTGTGTCTATCAGCTGATTATCTCTTATCTGAATATCTTAACATCAATTATCATCCAGCAAGTAACCCAAATAAATTGTATGACTGGAGGAGGTCAGCTCAAAATGTGCATAACACTTTTCGACAAGATCAAAATCTGTGTCCGATTGTCGACCTATGTCTACGTATCTCCTTATCCTTATCCGTACTATAAACCTTGGATAGCATGAAATGGTCAGTTAGCAGTAGGTGGGTGCCATCAATATATATATTCATGATTCAAATATTTCTTCTTGGAGACGTGCGGCTAAATGGTAAGTGTGTGTGTGTGCTTTTGTTATCAAACTATGGTTTTTAATATTATAAAAGATAATAATTAATAACACATTTTGCTGAAAAACCTTAACTATGACCATTCCCTTTGAAAGACCACCATCTACTACCATTTAATTGACTTTCCGGTAAAATTATAATTTTTATACTATTCAATAATAATCGACACTTGTTTTGGAAAGTGTGAAAACGCACACTGCGAATTGCATGTCAGCAACATTACAACTGGAAATGCAGTATTTTTTTTTTTCAAGCGATTTTCCATGTTTACAATGCTATGGGGGTAGTATTAGTACATATGTTGGAAAATCAGCGGCGATCAAATACTGACATAATTTTTCAAAATAAAAATAAAAAAATCGTTGAATTAAATATTTTTTTCTAGCACAAATATCATTACTATTAAACTGTACAGTGTACAGTAGTTAGTAACTGTATAGCTAGTAATATAAGTACTGCCGTGTAGTCAATAATTGAAAACGTAACAAACTGGAAATGCCATTTTATGTAAACAACAATACAACCAAGGTAATCATTGACGAAAAATCATTTTAGTTGTACGCTCCACACTCTGTGTGCAACTACACACACTCGATTACCATACCACAGTATTATAATGGGAAAATAAGTTTAAAAGAAAATTAATTTTTCTATATTTCGCGCAGTAAAAAAACTAAAACCGTTTATTGTCACAACTAAATAACGTTTGGCTGTCATTATTATCAATAAGCTTCACAAATTTATAGTATACTCAATAAACTTAATATACTGTATTAATATAGCATTAGCTAAAATGCGTTTCTAGATATTGTGTACATGAAATGGTACATATTATTATTGTTATTATTATATGTTGCCATTGTTTTGCCGTTCGCCTAACCTAACCGACTCGAAATAATCATATTCAGCCATGAGGAGAATTAATATCAAGAGAAATGTATGTAGCTCATCCATTATTCATGCATAATATACAAAAATATACCGTGTGGGAAAATGGGCCGTGTTTAACCGATATAATTTTTAAAAAAATAAAATTTTCATTTGAAAAGTGCGTTTAGAAAAAATTGGAAAAACAGTGGAAAATTGTTCAGTTTCATAAATCGTCCCGAGAGAAATATATAAAATTTGGACTTACACTTGTACACCGTGAAAAATAGTAGAAACACAATATATATATATTGACAGCGTACTAAACGGTAATATTAAATAATTACACTGTCCAACAAGATTTTAAAACCCAAATTGACTGTTTCGAGGTTCGAGGCATGCAAAATGTATATTTATTTTTCCTTTAAAAAATGAGGTCGACTTTTGTTATTAGTAAATAACACTAACAGGCCGTGTTGATATTGTATTTTTTTGCAAAACGACACTACTCAGGTCTAAGTGGTCGATTAGGGTGGTTTGGATATTTTTCAGTGTGCGTTGGTCGAGGAGATTGCACGCGGTCTGTTCATTTAAAGTCCAACTTACGGTTGGTCCGATTTAAAGTCTGTGCCAAACAATTAGAATCTATCGAGTGAGAATTGAAAATGGACCGTGTCCCCAGTAGTCGGAAAACATAAGTAGTCTAGCTTTTTGGGGTCTAAAATAATAGCCAAAACGACTGAAAACTGAAAACCTCGCAGCTTATACAAATAATACTGGACCAGCTGTCAATTGACACTGAATGGAATGTGGTTATTACGGCCACAAAAAATTTTATGCCTATACCAAAACTCGTTTACAGACCGCATGGCAATCCCGTATGTTAAGAAATTGAAAATATTTTGCATTTTCCATTGCAGTGCTGGTGGTGGTGGTGGTTTACTTGTTTTTCTCGGCCGCCGGATCGAAATTGAACTCCAACACGTCGGTTCGGTTCACATCGTTGCCGGGCGTGTACACGTGTTTGTTGTGGGAAATCATTAAAGAAAAACTTGTATATTTATATATAGTTATTATATTTTAATCGACTGTCGTTTTTCCAGAGAGAGAGAGAGAGAGAGAGAGGAAAAATAATTGCTCGCAACACGGTTCGCCGCGAACGTCAACCCGGCAACTAAACACGCCACCGTGTGTGTAGTGTGTGTTAATAATATTTTGTAAAATAAATAAAAATAAAAAAAACACCATGTTATGATATACTAATTTATATTAGTGTTTTTTATCTATTTTTTTTTTTATTTTACTTTTCGTTCCAGTAGACGAGTTTCTGTGTTTTTTTTTTCCACGCGTTTATTATTGTATAAAACCAACAGCTAAAAAACACCTGTTTGATGGTTTTTTTTTTCTATTTAATTTTTTTTTTTTACATAAAATTATCGAGCACACGAACAAACCTGCGAACCAACGCAAACGGTCGGGTTCGCAATATTACCTATTAATAATAATTATCATACAAATATCGGATACACCAGTTCACCACACACACACACAGCACATTATGTGCGACTGTCACCATGCCGCCCATACATTGTAGTCTCGTCGTCGTCGATGATGATTTTAACTAGGTTCGACGCTTATACAGAGCGCAGTACAGAGCATATAACCATAGTTTTGAGCGACTGTTCGCCATTTAAGTTTCAAAAGTTAGCAAGTACCCCACAATAATCAGGAAAATCGAGGTCACGTTGCATTGAAAACACCATGGGGAAAAACAAATTCAGTTAAACCCGATGAGATATTGAGCAGTTTACGGTAAAATGATCACCCTGTATAACGAATAGTACACAGGGATCTATTTAACGTAAAACACACATTTGTTGATGAAAATAATTGCACTAATGATTTTGTTTAACAAAATCATGTCTTATTAGTGCAATAATGACACAAACAACAACTTAACATTAAATAATAATAAAACTGTTTATGTAACCTTCTCAAATATAATAATTACTTCTCTTAAAAGCTCAATGACGCCACGTGTAAACCCATTTTATTGTACGATGAGGAGCTGATCAAACCCACGTAAACTGTACACAAGTAGCACACAAAACACCTCGTGAATTTCTAATAAATAGATGGTTATTAAACAGTCGATTAAATTTATTAGAATACAATTTAAAAAAAAAATTAATTGCCAGGCTTTTTTGTCTAAAAAAAAAAAAAAAAATAGATCTCTTTCAATTCCCTCAACGTTGGCCCTTAATGCTGGGCGTTGCTTTGGAAAATACCGAAAAGGGTAAAATATAACATATTAAGTAGAATATATGTTTTCTAAAAGAAAAACTACAAAATTGAAAACAAGTGGCTTACGTTAAATGGTTCACCCTGTATGTATATTGTATACATATATATTTTTTTTTTTTTTTTATTTTACCAGACAACTGGCTGTTAATATTCCTCGCTGGACTAATATCGTCCATAACCACACGCAGAGCTCGCACTACAATGAGATATCGAATTAAACGTTTAGCTGTGTAAAAGCGTTCACATAATATTGCCGGTTTTTTGTACTCGTTTCAGAAACAATTTGTGTTGTTTTGCCGAACAAAACGTAAAATAACAAATATTATAAAGAAAGAGGCCAAGGTCTCCACGGGGAACCTCGTTGACAGATGTTATACAAAAGATAAAAAATATTATATTATGCGTTCGAGTATACCTACACGCCGGCCGGTATGTATAGTTCAAACACATCGGACGGATAGAATTACTTGGGATAATAATAAATTTACATTACTTAATGTTAAAAAAATAATTAACGGCAACCGGAGCTTGTGAGCTAACCGATCAAAAGACGGTCCCATCCGGTGTAAGATGCTCATTTTCATTGGAAATAATATTAAAACTTTGTAGTTTTTCCTTTTTGGGAACATTTTTTTTTTATTTCCAAGAGTTTATAATAGATTTTAGTTTATATTCAAATTTACCAATTCGAAACGAAAGAAAAAAATTTACTCAAACGGTACAACACGTCATAGGTCATTTTTGTGCACTTTCTGAATTGAGAATAATTTACTGAAAATGATGACTGTTCAATGATGACAATCAGTTTTGTATAAAGTGTTACTTTTAAGGTTATTAAACTTTCATGTTTAGACGGAACGCTTTATTAATTACATTTATCCGCTACCCGATTACTTAACCGATTTAAAACTTTAAAATTAATTATTAAAATGCCGACCATTCAAAATTATTGTCAACAAATTATTTGAAAAACTTAAATAAATATAATAATGTGTGTCTTACATTGGACGGATTACCCTGTATATTATGCTTGAATACTATGAAATGTGTATTTGAGCAGGAGATAAATTTGGCAGGCCTGTCGGGTGATCCAATACAAACACTAATATGTACACAAATGAACACTATATAGCAAGACGCCGTTTATTGTTATATTTTACTTTTTCCCATTCAACTTACAACTGTAACCTATATTACATAATATTATGTATGTACACAATAAAATATTTAAGAATAGGGATTTTTTTTTTCTCTTTAAAACTACTTTGTAAATACCGGCTATTTCTTCATATTATTCACATCTTTCTAGCTAGTTCTTTACTCTGGACAAGTTTTCCAATGTGAATTGGATTATGATTGCCGGACACTTTGCCAAGACAAAACTATAACAATAATATTATCATGCAAGTTGTTTTGGCCGTTTCGACAAGGACGGACGTTGTGGTTGTTTTTTTGAAAACTTCTTCAACCTTAACTCGAAACGATAATAATTATTGTCGGTCAATAGAAAACGCCTTCTAAGTATAGTGTACACCCTCGGGTCGAGCCGTGTAGAATGAAAAATGTCCGCGTTCGCCTGGACATGTTATTAAACGCGTTCGGATCGAAACTAATTAAAAAAGATTTCCAGATAAAGCAGCCGGGTCGCTATTTTTTGTGTTTTTTGTTGCAGTATTGCACGATTTCATAGCACCAAACGCGCGTCGTGCCCCGAGTCCGGGTAATTAATACAACTGCACGGGACGGCTAAAACGCGTTATTAATAGTTAATTTTGCATGATATTTTAACCGGCCCCCAAGAATGTATTATTTTCAGATACTGTTTTCTGATAATTCACAAGCCATACGTTTGCAGAACGACACTTCCACGTGGTAGCGCAGGGAATCACTGGGAAAACAAGCTATACGGACATCACAATAGTGTTTCGCCGGTTAAGTTTAAGAAAATGTTGTGTTTAAAACAAAAAAACGGTACGATGAAAATATATCATTGGACAATTGGAAACTTTTTTTAAAATACTGCAAAAACGCGTGGACGCTTACTGACATTGTTTTATGGGAGAAAAAATGCGTAACGTTGTTAAATAGGAAAATATTTATTATACATTAATAAACTCACTGGCCGATCGTTTTGGACTTTTGAAAACGTGTAATCATTGTACAACGATAATAATAATTATATTAAATAATTCGTATATTTTCGTTTAACAAACAGTAACCGCACTCGAGAACGTAATTGCCACTATTTTTCACATGAACACCGAGTAAGGCGGCCTAATACAATGTTTGCACAACTTTACCAATAGACAAAAAAAAAAAAAAAATGATACAGAAACTTTTGGCGCATGTCGTACTTAAAGCCTTATACAATATAATATTATACAAACAACATTTAATGCGAATTATACACATACAGGGTGATGATTTTATCGTGCCCAATCAATAACGTACATACTAGGGTTTAATAATAAAATTTACAATTTGTCACAATTTTTTTTTATTTTTGGTTCCTACCACCTTCCCAAACGTATAGCAACTTCTTTTCAAACATAAACGCATATACACATTTCATTGACTTTTTAAAAATTGAAAATAAAATATGCAGCCACTGAAAATGTTGACTGGTTGATAACCGCACTTTTGAACAACTATTATTGCATACTATATATACCATATCGACTATTATAAGGGTTGAAAATAATACTACACTCCACCCCACCTTCCTCCTGTCCTAAACTTGAAACTTCAATAACAGCTATTTCTGGAGTTATTAGTACTAGTTTAGTATTTGTATCTGGGCTCACTTCGCTCATCTGTGTCCCCGATTTTATCCAATTTCTTTTTGGTGCACAATAATGCATTCAAATCTAAGAAAATAGACGTTTACTACTGTAATTTTTTTTTAAATATTCAATCTGTACCTGGTGAATTCTTACTAGAAGTATAATATGTTTTTATCACAATAAGAATATCATATAAATCGCTCTATCCATGGAACTCCAATACTATAGTAATTTCTTAAATAAATATTTTACTGTATTATTACAAATAATAAACAAATAAATATATATTAACACTATGATATATTATGTAATTGTAGATATAAATAGGTTATATATGCGTATAACCTATATATAAATAGGTTTTGTAATGTCGATACACTGTTGCACGGGTAAAATAATTAAAAACTATAAACCAAATTGGGTCAAAACGGATATTTACTTTTTTTTTTTAACGCCAAAACGGAATGACTATTATGAAAAATATACAAATTTCACTTTATACCAAACAATATTATCATTGCCTGAAATTTACCATAACGTACCCCGATAGGTCAGAACGTGTGTTCTAAATTTCTATGTATATTTACAACAACAAAAAAAAACATTAATGATTTGCATTAGTTATATTTCAGAGAATCCATGCCTATTTTTTGATAATGCAGTGCAAATAATTGTTTTTTTTTTTTTGTAATTAGACAACATCTGTGTTTAGTAGCTGTTAGTATTTTCAATCTAGTTTTTATCATAAAACAATACTCACTATTTTAGATCTGGAATTGATGTCTGATCGTTTTTGTCGAAGCACACAGACTTTCTGGGATAAGCTGCTGCTGCTGCTGCTGTTGGTTTTAGACCTGTAAAGTTTATTTGCAAAATTTTAAGACACATAAACCGTCGTTTTCTAAAAAAAAATATAGTTCTCCCACAATGTTTCTAATAACAGTTTTCTTTCCTATTTTTATTGTTGGTAGTTTAGTTTGGTATGTTTTACGTTGAAACTTGTCAAGTCGGTTCTCTCTACTCAACTATTGAGAGTTAAATGAGAAAGTATTTTTTCTAAAAAATATTAACTGGTCGAAAATCGATTTGGAATAATTATTTTTCGAGGCGGGAGAAAGGGTGGAGTGTAGTATTGTTTTAAACTTAAATTTTAAATTTAAGTATCTTTTAAAGTAATTTTCCAAAACTAATGATCAAGTCATTTAAAACGGTCAGCAAATTATTCTCAATTTAAAAAGTCAGTTAAAACAAAATGCTTCACTATTTGGGTTTTATAAAGCTATAGAAAAAAAACAAAAATTTGAAATATTTGAAAACTTTCTGATATCTCCTATTTTTTTTCTTTGCTGCTAGCTCACGAATAAGAATAATTACTTTTATGTTTTTAAAGTAAAGTATGATTTTTATCTGTGCGCATGACTCGTATATTATTTTTATAAGCAATACAAAGATAGACAATTATTGTCTTTCAATTCCGTTTTTCTTAGGCGAATGAATAAATTCTCAGTGTTGACATTGTTTTCTATTAAAGCTTAAATATGTCATCTACCATCTAATTTTTTGGAAAATTATTGTAATTATTTTGAGTGTTTATTTCAAACTTGCTCGTGTTAGTTAACAGCGAGAAAATTATTACCCATTGCTATACTTTCAGTGTATGCCAAGACCCCCCTTTTACACAAACTAAAATACATTTTGACTGGTACATAATAATTTTGTAGAACAATTTCAAATATATATTCTATACAATACAATAGCTTCTCTAGTAAATTTACTTAAAGGATAATTTTTTATAATATTATGGTCATTCTTTAATAATTTACAATTATTGTCTAACGAGTTATTTCCGTTAGAACTACAATAGAATTCCTTTCGTTTGACTTAAAATTAAAAAAACAATATTTTTTTTAAGATTTTATATGTTGCCGTGTGTACCTTTTTATATTTTCGCCTCAATTCTTGTGTATTTAAAAAACGCATACACTGTCTCAGAGCGGTTTTGTGATCTTGAAAATTATCATTTTTAAATCCTATAGCGATGCCTGTATAGCGGTCTAGTGTCTAATAATTGTTATGAATTTTAATTTTTCATTTAATTAGAGGTTTAATAAGAAATAGAATTTTTGTTTTTTTTTTTTATAATATTTTTATACAATGTGATTGCTTTTGTTTTCATCCCCTCTCCCACTTAGTGTTTTTGACAGCAAGTTTTGAAATTTAAATGGTAACGCATACGTTTTATTAACTTTTTAAATTGAGAATAACGTAGTGGAAAATGTTGACTGGTCGATAACCAATTTTGGAAAACTATTTTTGAAGTTTAAAATGTATGGCAGGATTTTTAAGTTTCAAATAGTTGGTGTAAAAATAATTAGTCCGGTAGGCGAGCAAAACAAAACGAAAATTGTGAAAAATTGAGATCATAATATTGTCCGAAAAACATTATGAAAAAATAATTTAAATGTCTTATTACACCTTATCAGCAGGTGTTGAGTGGTGCACGATAAAAAAATGATCACCCTGTATTTCCGGGTGATTGGTTAACTATGACTTGGAAAATAATATATAGGTAAATAAGACTCTTTTTAATTATTTTTATGTTTTATACCTGTTATTATTTGGGATAAATTCTATATGTTTTTAAAAAATATATATAGCCCCATCCCTTATATGTTAAAATCGTGTGAACTTAAGTTTTTTAAACGGTAACGAATATAGTGTTTGATTGAAACTATTTAAATCAACAATAATTTGCTGGCCATTTTGACTTGTCGACCTAAACCAGTTTTGGAAAGTTATTAAACTCTAAACGTCAGCACGACAAGGGAAGTAATGCGGGCAGATAAAATTATCTCTACCCTTCGTTCCGGTCTAACGTTAAAATTGCCTTGTTGTGCTCATTAGAGGTTGCAATTGTTGAAATATTTTTATTTTGTTGTACGGTGTTTAGTTCTAAACTAACGTCATTGTATTCTGTTATCGAGGTACGTGCAAATATTACGGTTTTTTTTTTTTTTTTTTTTTGTCACAAATAACGTTATTATAAAATATATTACAGGCATTATTACTACGAACTGCAGTGGAAATCTAAATAATCTAAACAAGTTATCGGAATTTGCGTTCCATATTCATCGTGAATAAAAACGACCTGAATAAAAAAAACCGTAAAATAATTTTTTAACGCAACGATACCAGTCAACGACAATGGTGGGTTTTTTTTTCCCCAAGGCGCACTGTACACACAAACCGTGTACACAACAAATTTGCCAAAAAACAATTTATACCGAAGGGGTAAAAAAAAAAAAAAATCAAGCGTTTACATACGGTGTGCATCCCTGTGCATTTTACATTTGGTAATTGTTAATATTGAAATCTATCGGTAAAATGATTAAAAACGGGGGTTTTTTTTGGGGGGGGGGGGGAAATATCGATTGCAAGTAATCCACTTAATGAACACGTCTAATATTGTGTGTGACTTATGGCCGAAAGGCATGCGTGTTGTATTAAAGCGCCTAATCAATCAATGTCTCTGCTGCCGCTGGACAACCCATAATATTATATAAGTGTACAATTTTAACAAGTTATTGGTTGTTATTACTTCAGGACGTTTTTTTTTTCGGTTATTGTCGGTTTTTACTTAAATATACGTTGTGTATGTATTATTATTATTATTTTTTTTTTTTTAACAGGATCGATTGGACGTGTCGAAAAAACGCAAGGAGAGAGAGATTGCATAATAGTTATTAATTTAAGACGAAACACAGAAATGTCTCCAAACGATTAGCCATACACTAATTATAGTTGGAAATTTAAAAAATGGAAAAGTGACCTAAAGTTTGGGTGCAAATTGCCAATCATAAAATAATCTCTTAGCATAATTAATATTAAACTATGCCGAGTTTTCCCCCTAAGAGTCAATAATTTTGCATATGATCAAGTCATCATCATCGTATATCAAGTCAAATTTTGAAATAAATGGTTTTTATTAATTTCACCTTGGATGTTTTGAATGTGTAAGCTCGAGTACTCCTCACCTTGTTATTTTATATATAATATGATCATTACTACATATTGTCATTTATATAATTGTTAGAATCAGTTATTTAGAGAGTATGTTTTACTGTTTTGGGTCTCTCTTGAACTTTCTATATTTTTTAATTTAAAGCAAGAGGTAACGCGAGGGTTCTATAGCTGCTGTGACCTCTCTGAGAATGGCATATGTCACAAAGCATTGGTACAGCTGACGGAATAGGCTAGGAATCCTTCGAGATACTCATTTTGGCTCGACTTGTCATCAATCAATAGTGCTCAAGTAAAGTTTTTAATTTTACCCGGAATTCTGAGGGCACTTAAAGACTTAATAATTTAGCAGGCGTTTCTCGCTGCCACAGTAATTGATTGCACGTTAAGGACACATGTCAGCATCTTGAAATTACTAAATATTTAGGTACCATTCTCGGTAGTTTTTTAAAGCTCTATCGTCGTGTTGACCGTTCTACGTGGCGTTTTATAAAACCCAAATTTGTTTTCCGCATCTCTTTTTTTATCTTTGGTACTAGTTGTACAAAGAAAGCTAATTACTTCTAAAGTTAGTAAAGTTCAACAGTTTTTATGGCATTAACAGACGTTGGTAGTATTAATTTTTAACTGAGCTCTTAGCTGAAATCATTATTATTGTCAATTCAAAAAGTAGAGCTCTAGAAAAAAAAATGAAAATAGACAAAATTGGCTATTGTTGTAAAATAGCTAACTAACATGGTTTTTTTTTTAAAAACAACGTACAAAATTTCAAATTGTACAGTGTCTTGTACTCAAAGGGGATTGCACGCGGTCTGCGGGTTAAGGCCCCTGGGATACCGACCATTTTTAAGGAGTTTTGTATAGGCAATATTTAAGAAAAAAGTGGTTTTATTAAATTTCAACCATGTTAATTAATTTACCGGTTAATTTATATGAGCTTCGTGGTATTATTTTTAATTTAAATAATTTTGTCTATGAGTAAATGCCATTTTAGTTAATATAATAGTACATTTTTTGTCCATCGCACAGGCTGAACCAGTAATCCGATAAGTAATCTAAAAACAGGTTTGAATTTGTCATGAAGTTTACTTGAGATCGGTCATCGTACTTTTTTGATATCTTATTCGTACTACGCATAAAACACGTTTGAATATTTTATAAAATTTTAAATTTTAAAATCAAATTTGGAAAGGGTTAAAATTAAAAATTGAAAAAAGTGCTCTGACCGATCTCAAGTAAACTTCATGACGAATTCATATCTGTTTTCAGATTGCTTATCGGATTAATGGTTCACCCTGTGCGTTGGACAAAAAATGATGTGTTTTGGCTGAAAAAAACGGTCGGTATCCTTGTGTGGCCTTAAGGAGTTTTGTACAGGCAATATTTAAGAAAGCGAGAAAAGAGGGTTTTTGACAAAAATTCCGACCATGTCGATTGTTTTTGTCTGGCTTTTCTATCAAAACTAACCGACAAAAAAAAGGTTTTTTTTTTTAAATTTGAATAAAAATATTACAGTGCCAGGTGGTGACTAATAATTATTATTGTGACAAATTACCGACCGATTCGATCGAATGACCCATTAAGGCTATGGGCCACCAAAGCGATAGAGTTTCCACCCCCGGCCGGCTTACAAGCGCAAGTATAAGTTATACCTTCTTGGTGGAAGTTCTGCGATGCCGGAAATTGTGTGTCGTACACACAGCCCAGCCTGTTGAGTTCCATTGTCCTGAGCTCGGCCGGCAGGCTGGACCGGTGGTACTTGTTGTTGTGGTTATTCAGCTGCTGCTGCTGCTGCTGCTGCTGTTGGTTTTCGGTCCGCCAACGGACGATGGACGATCGGCACTGAGCGGCCGAGTCGATACTGCCATGTTTCTTGGTGTACAATCCTGCAGCCATGGCGGCGTAGTCAACTTGCCTACTCGGCAACAAACAAACAAACACACACACAAAACAAAATTTTGCATTACTTAAAGTATGAAAAATATATATATATATATATTTTATATATATATATATAAACGGGATAAAAAGACACGATTCGATTCGCCAATCCGTTCATTTTTGTACTGCATAACGCGCGTGAAAAAGTACACATATACAGGGTGTAGGTACACCTGACAAATAAAATAACTATTTTTCCGCCTCCCTTGCCTCTACACTTTAACCCATTTTTAATAACTCAAAAAGTAGCTATCGAAAACCGGTTGTTGTCGACCGGTGAAAATGTTTAGTAAATTATTTTTAATAAAAACGGTCATCTTAAATGTTTAATAGATACAATTAAAGTAACCAAAAATTTTTTTTAAAAAAAATAAAACAGTTAAGAGTGATACCCTATGTTGTGTTTGTAGCGCAAATGAATATAAATTAATTGAAAACTTAAAATTATTCACCAGAACAAAAGTTATTTCATTTGTCAGGTCTTGGGGAGACACCCTGTATGTGTTTACAAACGGCAACCTATCAATAGCCATCGACCACCACGATATGTCTGTAGGTAGTTATCCTAAATTATTTTTAAGTCGTGATGATTTATTTCTGTTAGAAAAAAATTCCACGGTAAACCATTAAATTGAATTTAACTCATATTTAACATTCAACTAAAAAAAGTTTAGGACTTTAATTTAGGACACTCCAAAGTGCCTATCTTATCGATAAGGCGTTTATGTGATAATATGTTGCTATATGATTCCAATCTCTTTTTTTTTTTTGAAATTATAGCATGTTTGTGTTAATACAATAATCTGCACGATCATTTTTTATCTTCGATACGTTACCGTATGGACACAGTCAGACGATAGTTATCAAGTGCGAAAACTACGGTTAAAAAAATACAATAAAAAAATTACCCCCCTTGTAGAGGGGAGGAAGGGGGTCTAGTGTAATTTAGGTTCGAAGCTATTGGATGTTTAGGGTTTTGCCATAAATAAAATATGTAAATGCCAAAATGTGTAACATGAAATTTGGATTCATTTGTATGTTAAAAATAGTTCAATATAAAACACATAATAGACCCGTTCAAAATATATTATATAATATGTTGCTTTATGATTTTTTTTTACCAATTAACCATTGACAATTCAAACTAATATATTATTCTTTTATTATACATATTATGTATATTTTTTCTTATTTAAACGCAAATCATTAGAAACATTATGCCGTTGGATTAGTGAAAGTTAGCGAATTCCAATGATTTCAGTTAACCCAAATCAAACTCCAGCACCAGAACCGACTCGGATTTTCGCCCTGTATTCACACACATAGTCAACATAAACGGTGTAATTTTTTGCAAGTTCTTTTCTTTTTTGTGTATTGAACGACAAAGGTTTAAACACAATCGCCTGGCGGATTACCATAAATTACCCGGTAGGAAACGCAAAAAAACCGCCGCTGCTAACGCACGCGATAGCAATTATCGTTGTTAAAACTGGAAAACTAAGCAAGTATAGATTTTTTTTTTTGAAAAAAAACGCCATGTCGAGTCCATAATGAGCAGGTTCGTACTTATAATATACACTAGTACGATGTGCAAAGACGATTAGAGCAGGAGACGACCGTGGTAGAATGTGTGTGTGTGTTCTGTAATTATATTATTTAACGACCGATTGACTTTCAGTGCAAAACGGTAGGTAATGCCCTAAAAAAAATCTGTTTATATTATATTATTTGCATACCTAACCGGGTGATTAGTTAAAGATAACACACTGATTTATTTTTTTTAAACAATTGTGATTTTGTAGTTGTTGTTTTCCAAAAAAAAAAAAAAACCGTTTTTGTTATTTTACAATACATTATGAAATTACTTTTTTTTTTTTTACAGAGCTTTATCAATAGTTTTAAACTCAAATGACTTTCCAAATGAATCACCCTGTATTAACAGTTTCACAAAAATAAATTATTGTCGTTGCTCGCGTTTAAAAAAATATGAGCGTATAAAAAACCCATTTCAGACTGTACAATATATAGCGCCATTATGTAAACCTAATACAAACCTACCTACTATTAATAGGAAATAAAATATTTGAATCCGTACACGCGGTTTGAGTGATAAAAATAACGATAAAAATCATTGTGCTGGCAATAATGGGCTTAAAAGTTATATTTCAGCACAAGGATAGAGTTGAGACATGAGAAATCTCATATTACCTATATATATATATATACAAAACTGTGATGAGCAGTAGAACACACGAGTAGAATAACTAGATAGTACTAATATAATAATAATTATAAAACAACATTTTTTTCATTTGACCGTTTCAAATACCCTGTTGAACAAAAAATAGTTATCAACCTTTTATTTAATTTTATAGTTATTTTTTATTTGGTATGTTTAAAACTATTATTTGGATATTTGTCGTAATGATAAATCAATTTGTATCTATTTATTAATTGAGTTTTTATTTTAAATATTATATTTATTTGGAGTTTTCATTAAATAATACCCAGGTTTGATTTCGTGCACAATGTACCCTACACCTCCTCCATCAGATGGGTGTGCAAGTACGCTTGCTTAGTTTAACAAATAAATAAAAAAAATTATTCAGCTGTATACAATTATAGTATAGTACACGAGTTATATAATCGTGTTTGGGGCTCCACACCGTGAACGAGTGCAGAAAAATCAAACAAAATGTTTAAATAAAGTAGAAAAAAATTGTTTCTTTTTCACGGTTGTGGTTTGTAATTTTCATATGATTTGTTGGGTTCCGGGCTAGAGCTTATTGGCTTAGAAGCCAATTAACGACAATCCGACAAAAGTCTAAGCTTTAACACGTTCACTGTCCTAATGTTAAATTTAATCAAAAGTTATCGGTCCTATGATCCATATATGGGTCACGTTAACCCTATTTTAGTAGTCCATGATCAACATGTGGTTCATTTTAAGCATTTATTTCTCTGGAGATTTATTTGTATGGACTATAGTCTATGAAATTCATAACAACACAGTTGGACAGGTGTGATGATAGAGACTTAATTAATTAACTAATTAGGGACTTGTCTATAAATAAATCATGAACCACAAAGGGGTCATCGGACAGTGAACGTGTTAAAAAAAAAAAAAGGTTAAAATGAAACTAAACGCAGTTTACTTAAGACAAGGTTAGGTTATAGGTCATACTCCTATGTAAGACATTGGTTTTTGAACGGATCAAACAATATGTTTTATCTACTTTTAATATTTTGACTTGAACATTTTCGTTGGGCATGAGAAATAAAAACAACTGCGTTCGGTTTGATTTGTAATAAACACTAAATTTGTTGCAAATTGAAATAATACTATTATGCTTAAGGCATACACAGATATACGGAATAAACTGGGAACGAATGTAATCAAGTACAAGTAGGTACATCTAAAAAACAAACAAAAAGTATCTTAAAAGAAGAAGCAAGCATGATATTGTGATCGGCAACTCGTTGAACGTGGGCAAAAAACAGCTAAAAGAACAAAAAAAAAAAAAACGAAATCACCTAATCTTACTAGGTACCTATTAGACAGCGCGTACAAAGTTGGTAATTGAACACCACCACCACCACCACCACCACCACCGCCACCACCTCCTAGACTTTGGTGGCAAAGCACAACGTTTTTACGGATTTATTATCGTCGCCATTGTTAAGTTGCTACACTTAAGGTGCTGCTACACTGCCTGCGATACGTGTCAATTGACACTATTGAGACGTTTTGAAACTGCGAACGCGTGCAGAATATTTAAAACCCGAAACTACAATATAATCTACTGCTGTGCGTGGAACATAATAATATGTAGCAGCTTTTGTTGTTATCAATTATTATTATACACACTCCGTTCATAATATATGTACCTACCACAATACCGGGTGAGCCATTCAGCGTGAGACACTGATCGGATTTTCTTAGTAAACGTTTACAATTAGTTTGTAGCTGTTTTTTCTCGTCGAAATCATTTTTATTTTAAATAATAATATACTATGAAGGGCGCGGGTAAAGAAGGGTACTAGTAGTCCGTGTATGAACATTTTAGAGTATAGCAAAGTTCGTGAATTCCTCTCCCTCTTACGTGAGGGAAAAATCACATAAAGTGCTATTCTACTAAAAAAAAAAAATGTATTTATTTTAAACAATCTATTGACATGAATACAAAACAAAATTATGGCATTTATTGAAAAAAACTATTTGAAAAAAAAAATGTCATAAATGGACTACTACCATATTCTTCCCCTGTGCCCTTCATGTTATATAACTACTAAATGTTTACTCTTTTTCCTGTATTTTCCAGAATGCTGCTGCATTCAACTTTTGAAGCTTCAAAAAATATGCTAAAAACGTTTACCAGTCGACAACATAAGTTTTGAACAGCTGTTACACTTATGATGTTAAGACGATTGCATGCGGTCTGTTTTTAAGGAGTTTTGTAGATAGTATAAAAAAACAAAAAAAAAAAAAGAGATTTTATTCACAATTTCGACCATGTCGCTTAGGTTAATTTTTATAGGCTTTAAGGTACTTTTTTCTAAAATGTATACATAATTTTTTCTTTGAGTTCACAATTTTGACTACAACGGATGGTCCAGTTTGAATTCTGTAAAGACATTCTAGTTTTTTGGTTACTTTACTATGTTATGTCGTAGGAAGCCGATTTTCATTTAAAAAATTCAGTTTCTCGTGATTAAATAAATTAGATTTAAAATGTTTTCAACATTAAAACCCAAATATTTTACAAAAAAAAGAAGAAAATCCGTTTTCTACACAACCTAGTAAAGTTGTACCTACTTGTAAACTATTGTGTTTATTTTTTTCTTAAAATAATTGCAATTTCCTAGTATTTTTCTTTTTGAACAAATTTTTGTTTATGTTGTTTTATAATATAAAATATTTTTTTAATACTTGCCAGAGCGCTATCACCCAAAATGGTAACATATATTGTATAAGCATTTAATTTACTTTTCAAAATAAGAATATTCTGCTGATATGCTTGACTCTAACTTGAAACTATTCAAATACTTATGGAGTGTACGGCAAACAATGTGTTATGGTGAAGGTAATGTTTAAAACAACTTTTTCTTTGTGTAATTGTACAATATAATAATTGATTGTAATATAATATTGTATTCTATAAAAATCACCAAATATTTTCCAGAGCCCTATCGACTCTTCGAAATTAAAGTGTTATATTATATTTAATTAATTAATTTTTTTTAAATAAAAATAATTTGCTGAACATTTTGACTGGCTGATAAACAGTTTTGAACGGCTACATTTATAGTATAAATAAAGCTTCGAATTTAAAGACTGGCGGCGGAGACGGCGATTGAGTTACGCGCACAGATAAAAATAACAATACTTCATCGTTCCTCCGATCATAGGCTTTAACGTTTAAAAGTAGTTTGTCAAAATCTTTAGAAAATTATTCTTAATTTCAAAAAGTCCATCAAGTACATATACATAATCACCTATGATTGAATAAGATGAATAATTTTCGAATTATCGCATGTGTGTAATAACGTAAATAGGATTTTTTTTTAACTAGAAAATATCAATTATAGTGTAATAATAATGAGTGTCTCGTCGTAGACAACCTTATTCAAATGTGTTCAATGTGCATATGGACAATTTTTTTGTATTAATACTTACAATGTTGTATTCAATGTTCCAACACAGCAGGACCTAGGTGTCAATAATACTGATGATGTCGACATGAACTCGACAACGTCCAATGGTCGACGATAAAGTGTGATGGATTCAGAACGGTTTATGGCTCTAAATATTTCCCCCTTTATTCACGTTTCCAACACCACACAACGCGGTATCGTGGATTTTCGCAGTTCAAGGGCTACACAATAGGAGGTATAGGTACATTTAATAAAACGTGTAGTTCCTTCCTATATGCAATTCGTCACACGCATGCTTGGCACTTCATTGTCAGTGTGTACAGGACACAACACAATATTATGCCTGGATTCGATATCATTTTTTTTTAACAATCGCCAAAGTCTACCCATGACACAACATTGAACTTGGGGATAATCGCGTTTATGATAAAAAAAAAATATGTACACCGGCCTTGGCTTTTACAGCCCATGTATGTAGTATGTACACACATATAGGAGAAACCCGTGTCAATGGCACTTACCTCGCCGGATGAATCTGGAGTACTCTGAACCGCAAAAAAATAAAACGAAAACCATTTGCTCGAGAGCAATAACTTTTTTAACGGTTTTGAAATAAACGAAACGATTTCCACACTCTAATATTAGGTATTGGGAACCGTGTTGAAAATAAAATATAGGCAAATACTTTTAAAATGAGTGTGGTTGAACAATGCGTGCAGATAAAAATAATAATGCACTCCACCACCCTTGCTGTGCTAATCGTTGAACTTTATAGTTGCCTGAAAAGTAACAATTATCCAATTGTCGGCCAGTCGACATTTGCAGCAAATTATTTTTACTTTCATAGAAATTAATTAAATAGGTATCAACAACGTTGCTTTAAAAGTTTCAAAAGTCGATAGAGCTCTGGAAAATACTAAGAAAAAAAAATGTAAATATTTGGTAATTTTCTACTTTTGTAAAATAACAACAACTTTTTCAAAACCTTTAAAATTGCAATTATTTTCAGTAGAAAACGAGTACCTTGTCCTTTTTGCGAAAAACGGCTTGTATTAATAAATAAAACAATTCAAATTGTATCTTTCAAGAGAACGTGTCATCGATGATTTTTCAATGGTGAACACATGTTTGCGCCAAAACAAATAAAAGTACCCTTCAAAGTGATTTTTGAGATAAAACATCCACAGAGGATCGAGGACAAGATTTCCAACCGGGTATGCGTTTTTCAACATATCAAATAAGAAAAAACGCTACATAGATGTTTTGGCACTGCAATCATTTTGTAGGGTACCTTTTTTGGATATGTTTAAATTAAAAAAAAATATTTTCAATCGCCCACAAGCATAGTCACTGAGCTAATAATAATATTACACAGCACAGTTTAACCTTTATGTTAAGATTTTGCAAAAAAATTGCCTATAACTAACTCCTTAATGAATAGGGGTAACGTCTTTTACTTAACGGGATTGCGGTCTGTTTTTAAGGAGTTTCGTATAGGCAATATTTGGTTTTAATAAATTCCGATCAAGCGAAAAAGTTTACCGGTTGATTTGTATGTTAAGCTTTAAGGTGTTATTTTTAATTTAAATAATTTTTGTCTATCAGTAGAAGCCATATTTTTGGTTTTATTTCAGACCAAAAAGCTAGATAGACACAATTTCGACTGTTAAAGAGATTCTAGTTCTTTGGCTACACTTTACTGTGTAAGAAGCCGATTTTCATTTAAAATTGTCCGTTTCTTGTAATCAAGCAAATTAAATTTGCAATTTTTTTTTTCAATATTAAAACCGAATTTTTTTACATAATAAAAAAATTAATCCGTTTCCTGCATTTCTAAGAGGTAGAAAAAAACCGACAGAGAGAACCTAAATAAAGTTCTCGTTATTTTAAATATGTAAAAAAACCGTTCTACTATTTTTATTTAGTGCTTAATTATTTTTAAATCACCGTCAATGATGCTGTGATAATCCGAGAAAATTGATATTTGCCAAACTAATAATTATTAAAAATCACAGTTTTAACCATTAAATCAAGAGCTTCCAAAAAAATAATTGCCTATACTTTAATCCTTCAAAATGGACAGAGGGGCTATCATTTTGTTGGACCCTTTGTGTTATGTTTTTGAACTGAAACGTTTCCTTATTACTTAAATATAAGTATTGGGTAGAGTTGCAAAATTAACAGTTTTTATTTTTGTATAAAACTATGTTTTTCATGTTTTAAACTGTTTTTAATAAAATTTCAAAATTATGTTTTAAACTTGTTGAAAACATTGTTTTTTTTATTTTAAACGTTCTAAACAAATATTAATTTAATTTAGTACCTATATTACATTATACCTAATTATGTAGACATTGTAAATATATTACATATTTACCAAATACTTACCGATTCCGGATGATTATTTTTTTTTAATTCTAGTTGATTATTTAATTAGATATTTACTCTTTAGAAATAAACAATAGTTCCATGTAAAAATGGTAGTTCTAGAGACAGACTCTACAGACAGTACACTACAGAGCAAACCCTTGGGCACATTTTTTTTTTGGTTTTATGTGTATACATAAAAATAATACATATTTGATATTAATTATTATACCTTAAAATGTGAATTCTGTATGTTTCGACAAGATATACAAATTAACTATTTAAATTCAAAATATAACAAACATTCATATATATATATATATATGTATACAATCACTTTGCAACTCTGGACTATTGGGATGTTTAATGATTTTCTGTCTTAACCAGAACAGCTACTTGCTAGGTACTCTCCCCTCGCCCCCGCCCACCCGCACAAAAAGGGCCACTCGTTTGACCAATCAGCCGCCGTTCACTGTTATCAGTTATTGTTGTTATCACATTTCGGTAGGCGCTGGCGTCCTCGACAAATGACAATGTAAACAATGTTGAAATAATATATGTTATATTATTATATTTTAATTTAATTTTGTTAATAAATTACACTCCATCGCGGCTCAAATAATATTCGTGTTCGCAACAGCAATAAACTTATGTAATCTGCAATAATTAAACGTATCACTCTACTATACCGTGTACACGATTTTTTTAAAATTTTATCGACCAATATAATATTAGTGTTACCGGAACAAAACGGCAAAAAAAAATGCTTTATCGAAAAATACGTGCCCTCGACGATAATCGGCAACTATAAAATCCGTGTACTTTACCACCGCGTAAGCGCCATTTAATAATAATTATTATTGTGGAATTCGAATTTTGTTCTTATCGTCGAAACTCGTGCGCGTGTGTGTGCGTTTTTTTTCTTCCCAAGAATTATTATTATGTTTCTATACAATTATTAAGTATTATTATTATTGCCCGCGTTAAGTCGGCGGTGTGAATTTCAAATCTAACTGGAATATCATGCGCACCACTTTCGATTAGAATCGTTAATGCGCTGCCCACAAAATGACCGACAACGATAACACTTGTGCTTACGACACGTCCACAGATTGGGTACCGTTGTCTCTGACGTTTGTCGAATACCCTAAAGGTAAATCAATCACTATACTATTATTTTTTACTTTTCATTCCTGTTCCTGTTAACAAAAAAATATTAAAACTAACGTACTTTTTAAATAGAGCTTAAGTATCATGACTATTTGTGCACTCTTTTCCTTTTTTTTTTTTTATTATTTGCAGTCTGTGGCCCATCCAGTACATCTTGAGCGGGGGGGGCAGCCATGCAAACGTAATGGCTAAGAATTGGGAGCTATAGAAAAAACAAAAGAGCCGTCAATCCCGTTTAAAATTAAAATCTCAAGTGTTTGGTTTAGGCAAGTGACAATAGTGTAAGACGACCAACGAACAAATTATAAATGTAGTTTACAGTTATTATATTTCCAAACAATATTTGAGAAACAAATAAGTATTTCAAGATGTAATAGATGGGTTATAATATAATATGGGAAAATTTGCTGCCGACTGTTACTGTCAAAGTTACAAAAACAAATTACAATTATTTCTTTGTAAATGATCTCCAAAAACTTTGATAACAGCATAAATTAATTTTTGGTTTTTTTTTTTATTAACATCAGTAGTGAATTTTATTTACACATTACAAGTTTTGTGGTAATTGTTTACAATTAATCATCTTAGTTTGATTTTGTGTACATCATTTTTTTGAGGACTTTACAAACACCAACGTTTTTGTCGTAACATCCAATTAAGTTATTATCAGTCGATAATAGATATTTTTTCCTTAGTGTTTTGCCCTTCGTAGAGCAAAACAAACACAGACACTCGAAAGTGTTTGCTAGACGCTAGTCGATGACTGTTTCAATAGACAGACTATACGATATGCGCTCGCTTTTAAAACGAACGACAACAAAGGTAAATACGTGCGATTTTAAATGGCAATATTTGGCTAACATTAATATCACGCAGTAAAAGACCGAAATCAAACCTAGAGAACACCTACTCGTATTGGAGGTAATTGTTAAAAAAGTTGGAGACGGAGTCGAAGCTGGAGCTTGTGATAACAGCTTGCGACATGAGAATTTTCGTTAGGTTTTTTGGTAAAGCTGTAAAAACTGTCGATTTTTGCGATTGTGTGTGCCAAAGTAAAGACATAAAAATGGCAAAAAAAAAGTATAAATATACTTATTAAAGTTATATTTGAGCAGTAAAGTTTTCATATTATTTATTATCTATGATTCTCTATTTATTCTCTCTACAATTGACAAATGTTAAAGTTTTAAAAAAAACAGTTTTAAATTATGTTTTTTAGCTATTAAATATTTATATTTAATAAATGTTGATTTTGTTTTTTTTCAGGTAATTTCTTAGGAAAACTACTCGCTTTGTTCAGTTTAACACCATTTGTCATTCTGTCTGGTTTTCTTACGCTGATACTGTTTCGTAGAGACTTGCATACGGTAAGATATTAATTATTATAAAATAAATGTATATATATGTTTCGCGTAAAAATATAGATAAATATTTGTGTTAAGGCGGCGAGTGAAATTTGCCGCACTATAAAATGTAAAAATATATAGCTTTGATTTCTCGTTTCCACCTTTTGAGTTTCTTCCGTCAATATCAAACGGACATAGTCGAAAAAAATCATATTTTACCAATTAACTAACTTGGTTTTTTTTTTTTTTTTAGATTACATTTTTCATAGGCGTAGTCATCAACGAGATTTGCAACTATATACTCAAACATATTTTGCAAGAACCCAGACCTCTGGCCAGGAATTCTTTGTACTCAGAATACGGTATGCCATCTGCCCATTCACAGTTCATGTGGTTTTTTGCATCGTACATGTTTTTCTTCTCGTTTATCAGGTAGAGAAAAAAAATAATATTCAAACTAAATAGATATAATATTTTTACTCTATATATATATTTTTTTTTCAGATTGCAATACGCCAACAGCACAGCGTTCAAAGAGTTTTTCTGGAAAGTGGCCGCCGTCGTGACTTGTATAATTGTCGCTTGCATAGTGTCGTACAGCAGGTAAGGTTTCGCGTAACTCGTACGACGTTGTTTTTCATTGCCGCACGTTATGCGGCGTACTTAAGCATATCATTTTTTTTTTTTTTTTTAGAATTTACCTTCAGTATCACTCGTGGAAACAAGTGATCTTTGGCGGATTGGTCGGCCTGTTCATCGGCACCTGGTGGTTCGCCATCATCGACATTGTGTTGACTCCGTATTTTCCAGTCGTCACGTCTTGGTACGTTTTACAGATTACGACGTGAACTAAGCGTTTTGGTTTCTACGCAAGCACCGTGTTTCGAGTTGTACTTAGGTTACGTGCACGCTAGACAACGACGTTTGGTGACAAGCGTTTGCAAAATATTTTCTAGTGGTGTATATAATAATAACATGTGCATTATGATCAATTTTTTTTTTTAATTAAAACAATAAACAAACTAATTAAAATAAAAATACTTGAATAACGTTATAAGTAAAACGGGTAAACTTAAAAATAAAGTAACTAGAAAACTAGCAAATATAAGTTTTAAATTGTAAAATTTTATACAAGTATAATAATAATGAATAACAACGTATTGTAAACTACTTCCGTTTGATTGTTCTAGGGAGAAATCATATTTCTATGTAGAAAAAATAATTTTCGTTTTATTTAAAATCATTATACATCTTATTTATCAACGTGTTGATGGTTAAAAGGTTATTTGCCGGACACGACACTTTCATTACTTTTGAAGAGATAAAAAAAAAAAACGAATTTCATTTGGTTTATGTTTGTTTAATTTTTATACTAACAACGGAATTAAAAAATATATAATGGTAAAGAGAAAAAAATGATATCTCGTCGTTGGTATAATAAATTAATTGCACTAAACTGAAATTATAGATGACCAGTAATTTTGGTACTTAAGTAATGAGTAAAAAAAAAACAAAATGTAAACCTTACCAGGTCTTATTGACGTAAACAACAACCGCTTTAAAAAAAAAAGTATTTTTTATCAAACCGTTGATTAAATAGTATTATTATTTAAATCAAAATTAATATTATGGTACTTGAATGAAAAAAAAATATGTATTTCTAATTTTTACTAATATGTTGTGTACTTTCATAAACTCGTATGATAAAAAAAAAATTGTATTGACTATAACATTTTTTTTTAAAGGTTAAAGAATAGAAAAAAAGTATATATTATAATAAGTTTACATTGACAACAGTAAAAACACATTTTTTTTTATATCAAATATAATTACTTATATATTTTTACAATATGTTTATGATTAAATAAAATTGTTTTTAACCATTAAAATATTAATATTTTTAAAAAAGGTTGTAAAATTTGACGGATAAATTAAGTTTTATTAAAATTGAGAGCGTTGTGTCACTTACACCAAATAGTTATGGATATGTTTTAAAAACTACTGGACACGCTTTGATATAAATCAATTTTTTTTTTTATCACTTTTAACTGACTAAGTTTACAATACTTAAATCTAAATCAAATATTTCACGATTGACCTTTAAAAAGTTAACTGAATAAGTGTTATTAAAAGATATATGAGAAATTGTTTTTATTAAAATAACCAAAAGTTAAATAACCACATGTAAAATTATTAAACACTATTGTTGTTCAATGGTACATTACAATATGTTCTCAATCTGTTGGGTTAGGCTGACTAGGTTTTTTTTAAATTCCGGTCGATTGTGTTAATATTGAAAAAATCAATAGGGCTTTATTTTGACCGACCCTGCTAGGATTTCAATGGTCTCCAACGTGCACACGGCCTTAGACTACGCCTACCCGACGTGAAGTGTAATTATATTCAAATAACGCTTTCTAGATTAAAAAAAAAAAAATGTATAAAATGTGATAATGTTTTAATGTGTTAATAAAAAAAAACGATTAATTGATTATTTTTGCCAACAGGAAAATTTCTGAATTTCTTCTTCTGAGAGATACGACATTGATTCCGAACATATTGTGGTTCGAGTACACGAACATTCGACACGAGGCCAGAGCGAGAGCCAGACGACGTAAATCGGTATCGCTCAAGTCACAATGACTAAGGCTGTGATTGATGAATGGAGTGACTGACCTAGATGAAATAATATATGTCCACCCCTACGTTCTGTTTTATTAACATACACATAAAAACAACTAATAATATTGTTTGCATTTTCTATTTATTCAAAAATTATTACACTTAGCGGTTAACGACCGAACAACGCTTTAAACCATAATATTACATTGTCTTTACCTCGTTTTGTAGCACATAATTTATTATTACTATTATATACTTGTATATTTATGTTCATAAAATGTATTATGAAAAGTGAATAACATTTTTACCCAACTGTTATTTATTTATAATCGAATAGTAAATGTATTTCTTTTTTTTTTTAACCTCATTTCTTAAAAATAATAAATTAGGTACAAAATTATACATTTTTTTTAAAAATAAATATGTGTCCAAATAATGTAAAATTATTTTATTATTGTAATAATCTAAACAACAGTGTGGATAAATATTAGTTTTATTATTGTTATACTATCTTTAAATTAAAATTTTTTTTTTTAACTTGTTAACTTTTAATTTATATTTACTTTTAATCACATCATTAATATTTACAAGACATTTTCGTTTAAAAACAAATCGAGTTACCTATCCAAGTTGAGATGTTGATTTAAAAATTAAACAGACAAAAATCTATCATCGGAAAATCTTCAATTTATGAAGCTGAAAAAAATAGGTTAGTTTTAAGACAATTTTTAGTACATTTATCCAAGTTGCAAAGAATCAATATTTTAATGTTTAAAAGTGAGTATCTTAAATTTGATAAACTAATTAAACAAAAACCTTGTGATTTTTAAGTTATGCCTCGATATTTATATTTCACCGTCAAAAATATACTTGAATTTTTAGCTTTGTTTTTTTTTTAACTTGCAAAAATGGATAATAAAAATATTATTTTTTTTTTAAATGTTAAATATAAAAATAATGATTCTTACCTATATTTTAGCTTTGTTAATCAAATTAGGCCCAGAGTTAATACTTATATTTATTAAAAATTATTTCCTACAGAACATGAACGTTTTTATAAATTCAATTGTATGTTTAAATAACATTTCGAACCTCCATGGTATTACATTTTTTTTTTTTTTAACAATGTCAATATCTTTAGCAATTAAAAAAACAAATTGTAACTTTGGATGCTGACTGAACTATTGTGAAATCATATTATTTCTGTCAGATTTACCATTAATGTTATTAAGGCTTTTTTTTTTTTGTAAACTAATGACTTTATGTAACTAACCGGCATTTTTGGTTTCACATTAGGATGGGCTCATAAAAGAAATAATAACTAAAAAAACCTCAGAAACCCTCCCACAGTGATTTTATTGAGAAAACAATACATTCCACTTTTCTTTGTTAGGCAATACAAGTATAATATTATTTAAGTTGTCAAATGATACTTCTGCTACCTCTATACACATCACTCTAACGTTAAAAATGTCTATAATATAAGTATATATGCATATTATGTATCAATTTGGGATTTTCGTTAGCTTAAAAACCTATAGGGAGGGACATAGTCTCTGCTTTCCCCTCTGTAATAATCTCCAAGACACCAAAGGGTGTATTCTAATATATTGTGCTTTTCTGTAGCATTGTAAGAATAAGAAAAACTATGTATTCAATTTATTTTTTATTTTTCAAATGAGCCATATTTTTTTTTCAACCAAAATATTATTATTAAATTAATATTTATCCATCACATGTTGTGATGGATAGAGACGAGCAGAGTGTATGTCACTTAACCAATCTAAGGATTGAAAAAAAAAATAGTAAACAAAAATTGTGTTTTATTAACTTAAAGTTTCATGCTGCGTAATTAACAAGGTTTGGATTTGGAGTTTAAACTTTATATTATGCCTTTGGATATTTATTTTCATAGCGCTATAAACTTTTGAAACTTAAATTATTGTAGTAAAATATTGTACATATTTTCTTGAATTTTTTTTTAATCGAAAATGAAGAATAATTTGCTCAGATTTTAAAACTTAGGATGGAAAGTAGAATGCAATTGAGTAATGTGCACAAATAAAAAATACTTCACATTAAGTAGGTACCTCCTGCCACTTTCGCCAAAACTCCTCAGAATTATTTTTTTATAATTTACCCTACTAACTTTATACTATAATATTTGATCATAAAACTACTTTTTTATTTTAATATTATTTTTTTTTAAATAGCCATAATATTGTTTTAGCAATAACCTATGTTTTTCTTAAAAAAAAAATACTTTCCAATAACGTTATACCTATTTTAATTTATTTTAGAACAACGTTGATATAATCACCAGAGAACTAAATTATTCCATATTAACCAAAGTCCAACTGTTCATTTTAGGGTACTTATTAACATAGGTACTAAAACTACGCCCGTTCTATGAGAAAAATTTGTTTTTCGCTATTTTCTTAAAAAATTTCAACTCGACAAAAAATGTACACCTATACAATTTTGTTGAATGTTTAATTTACTACAAAAAAGATCTTTTAACCGTTTCTCCCAAAACCGATATTTTCTTAAATAATTAGCAACGCGCAAAGGGTAGTTTACATTTTTCGCTATAAACCGACTATTATGATTTTGCGTTATTCTATTTGATTAGACACGACTGCTAAAGATGAAATACATATTATATTATAATTATCAAGCGCTCTTCTTCTTTATTAAATCTTTTATTTATGTACCAAGCATTGGTCAACAAATAGTAATTGGTCAAACAAACTAAATAGTAAGCGCGTACAGTTATTGTTAAATCAATGTATATTTATATTTATAATTCAGCGAGAATTTATTTGTATAAATATATATATTACAACATAAGTCTGTTACACCGATATCCTATAGGTATATACCACAGAATGTATAAGCAAAAAGGTCTCTTCCAATGTAAACAAAAACTATACACAGCTAATAGTAATAATGTACATATAGGAGGTAGGTATAACATTTATATGGCGTTCAAATGAGAAGAACATTTTTGTGTGATAACTGTATTTACCGTGTAAGCTTTAATTTTTTATTTGAATTTAATATGCCTATGAATAATAGGTACAATACAGAACAGTATAAATAATAGTCAGTTCATCATGGCTTAAAAATGTAAACTACCCAAATGCATTTTCGCTAATTATTAAAGAAAATATTGGTTTTTGGGGGAAACGGTCAAAAGATCTTTTCTATAGTGAATTAAACGTTTAACAAAATTGTTCGGATGTAAATTTTTTGTCAAGTCGGAAATGTTTTAAGAAAATAGCGAAAAACCAATTTCAAAACTTCGGGACCTAACCGTTATACCTGTTCAACATAATATGACCTAGGATATTTTCTCTACTTATGCGAATACTTTATACTTAAAATGTAATATTTAAAAAAAAAAAATAAAAATCGTTCAAACCTGGTTGTCGATATATTCTTCTTTTGAAAATAATTCAATTCTTAAACATATAATAGCGCTTTGAACAGCCGAAATGGTACCGCCCTGGCAAATAATGGAGCTATAAAAATACAAAGGTAAATGGGTTTGTGTCAGTTTTACAATAGTGTACAACGGGACATAAATAATAATGAAATAAAAATACAAGTGTAATTATTATTACCCACTTGCCGTCTCGGTTTGAAAAGATGTATCACCCTGTATATTTTGTTATTGCCATTAGCCGTTGTCGGTTTTTGCTAAAATTAGACAATGTGTATTTTCCCTAGTCCCGTGAGCCGCCCGTACTGTTACTGTGTTATACTGGTTTGTTATCATCAGAATATCAGGTATACAATCTGTATTATATTAAATAGCCGCATAATATATATATATATTATAGAACACACACAAACGATACGGATGAATTAATACTGGCTGATTGTATATTGTATGAGAAGACCAACACAACGGCAGGTTCGATTACAGTCGCTCATACCGGCATATCGCTTTTACACGGCCGTCCACGTCAACGCATATTATATTGAAATTCCCTATTTGTTGTGTGTAATAACAAAATCGAAATATACATACATATTATTATTATTTTTCCAAACACGACACATTCAGTTGGACCGCGATTCGCGCCCCCGCACAATAATAATAATAATAATTGTTTGTTAACCGTATGACGTTATACATATTATACTACCTAGCCGGCTACTATTATCATCATCGTTCTACTTACTGCGAAAATACAACAGTTGCAAGGACGATTTCAATCTGAACAACAACAGCAGCAGAATATAAAATATTATTATTGTGACAATACCGTACAACAAAAAAGCCGTCGACGTTATGTCAAACGACCAGAATAATTACACGGCCCAAACCGCGGTAATGTATGGCGACGGCGGCACCTCGTTTTGCCAACAGGTAAAATAATATTAACTTTTATAATATATATAAACTTGTTGAAAATTAAAAAAAAAAAAAGGCCAGTACAGTGGGCATAGTGTCCCCACTGTACTGGCAAAAAAAAAAAAAAACAGCAAAACTATTTTAAAAATGTATGCTTATTAATGTATCATGTTATTACTAAGATTATACTAAATGATAAGATTTATTTACCTGAAATAATTACTGCGTGAGGCTGCTTACACGACACGTTGGGCGTGCAATTCTTCATTATCTACAACTAAAAAACGTCGGAAAACCTAAAATAAATATTAAAATATATTACACCTACTTATGAATACTAAAAATTAATAACGATTAATGTATACTATTTTATATGTTTAAAAATAATAAAGAGCAATTAAAAAAAAAAAAGGTTTAATTAAATTTACTTAATTTATGATTCATCTTAAGTCATTTGTTCTGCATAATGATTTTAGGTTATAGTTAATTTTAAGTTCCTATTAAATTGTAGAAATAAAAAAGCCAGTACAGTGGGGTCGGGGCATAGTGGGGACGGATAGTTCACAGGTCTACAGATTTTGTTATAACTGAAAGTGATAAAATCACTATTAAATAAACGCTTCGATGCAAATCTGTGGATAGTATGTTATAGTGGTTTAGAAGATACCGTGGGACCAGCAATAATGTACTTAAAATTTAATATTCAGTCTTGTGCAGGGTGGATACGATAAGGGTTGATCAGGGTCTGTCTATAAAAATGTACTGTCATAGTTACACCCATATATCGTAATTAACAACATAATGAAAATATTTTCTGAAACTGACTTACGGCCAAAGTGTAAATTTACCCTTTTTTTGGGGGTTTTTCCTTAATAAAAAAAATATTTGATTACAGATTTTTGAGAAAATTTTATATGTTATAGTTCCATTTTAGATCTACCTTTGGTCTAATTTTCACATTTATATCTCTAAAACTTTGCTCGAAAAAGTAAAATAAAGAAAAAAATTCTCTCCCTTCTAACGGAAAGGGCTTATGATATTTTTTCGGTTTGTTAATGTTTATCGATAGTACTATGTTTGAAGAACACTTTGTATAAATTTGGAACATTTTCGACTATATTTAAAAAAGCTATAGAGCATCGTAATTTTAAGTTGAAAAATTTGTACATTTTTTTCAATTTTGATGGGGAAGGGGTGACTTTTTTTAATTTTTGGCCCGTTAAAGTGCCTTCCAGGTATGATTTCTGATCTATAGAGTTGCTACACGAAGAAATCGGTTCAGCGGTTCACAAGATATCGTGGGTCCAGACACAAAAATAAAAACACATCATTGTAAAAACAATACCATCTCAGCTGCGTATCGAAGCTAAAAAAATGTTTAGCCGTGACCGAGGGCAAAATATACAAGTGTAGAGATCAGTCCGGTCCCGCTGGCTAACCCAAACCGGACCGCAAAAGCCGGTCCGGTCCGGTCTAGTCGAAAAATGCCAAGGTCCGATCCTGTTAATTAAAGTTCATTTAATATGACATATTAAATGAGCCATTTCTTTTTTGTTTCGTGTTACTTAATTGTCTCATATTTCTTATGACTTAATCCGCACTCGTGTGTTCGTTCAACTCCGCCGTTACCTGGACCGACTACAGTGAACGCTTTAGGATCCGGATAGAGGTTTTAATACAATATGATATATACATAGATACTATTTATCCATTTCATCCAAGTTATTTACTTGGTCAAAGTTAACCAATCGCCAATTATGTATACATTTTTTTACTATGCAAACTTTATCTCTATGACTTGTTGTTTGTATTATGTATTTAAAGTGAATTTTTTTTTCAAACCTCCCCCTCTTATTCCTAAATACGCCCTCGGTATTGATGCACGGTCGAGAAGATAATATTGTTTTTACAGTTTGCATAATATGTTTTGTTTAAATATCAATTTAACGTAAGACACTTGTTTTCACTTAAAGTAGCAATTTTGTAGTTTTTCTCTTTTCAGGAAACTCTTCAGTTTGTACGATTTTACAGTAACGGACAATGTTAAAATTTTACAATGCAGTTTAAAATGTAGACACATACTTGGAATACAACAAAAGACAATTGTAGTATTTTTTTAAAAATTTTAATCCCAACATATTAGGTATATGTTGGGTTTTAAAAATAAATTGCAATCATGTTTAAAGCTTAAGTTAAACTTAAAAATGGTGTATATCTCATTATTAATAGTGAAATTATAGGCTAACTCTAAAACTTTGCCCGAAACTGATGAGAACGGCTATTGGAATTTACTATCGTTGTAGTGCGTAGGTCTCGTTGTTTTAAATTTGCATAATACAAATAGACATTCAACAGGCCATTTATAATAACAATTGTATGATTTAGATAATATGGTATTTGACTGATTACTAATTTAAAGGTATTTGTTTTGCAGCCGAGGACAAAGAAGAAATTGACATTAACGCCAGAGTTGAGACGATCGTCGTTAGCTGCGCCCGTAAAGACACAGTGTTGTTACAGGTTCGGTCGTTTATTCGAGTGCAGTGTTGCCAACGTTATTGTGTGTGTCGACTGCGTTAATAATTATTATCCGTTGTTGTTCTAGCGATTCCAGGCTGGTCAGTCTGAACGGGCTGGACGGCCTGAAAGACAGCACGCTGTCTCTGGACGAGAACGTGGAACTTATCAGCGACACGATAATGCTGGAGCGCAAGCACTTCCAGGATTATATCGACGGGTTGCGCGGTCAAGCTGTACAGCTGGAAGCTGACATCTACTCGAAGTCGGCGATGATAGATGACTTGCAACTGTACAACTGTGAAAAGCTCAACGTGATCGGATCGCTGGCGGCCATCTACGACGAGGCCGTGTGGAGGTGCGAATCAATGCAGCGGCTGTGCGAGGAGCACGGGCCTTCCGGCGGTACGGACGACCCGTATCGGTGCGCTCTGCTGGTGGACAGGGCCCTGGACACAGCGGCCGCGTTCAAGTCGGACCAACGGGAGATGCGTGGCCTTTTGGACGGCCTGACGGCAAGCGAAGGCGTGCCGGACGAGCTGGTCGGGGCCGTCGAAAAGCTCAGCCGCGGCCTGGACGAGTGCGTGGTGGCCGTGGAGAGCGCCACCGGCCAGGAGATGGCCAACGCCTTGCTCGAAGCCAACGACCTCGACCAGACCGTCAAGAACGTTATCCGGGAGATCGGCAATTTCCGACGGGACGCCACGCAACCGGACTATTGCACGGCCATTGAACTCATAGACAGGCTGGAAGCTTCGGCCCGAGACGGCGGATCCGTCGCCGCCGGCACGGTCGAGTTGTGGGTGTCGGTGAAAAACCTGTTCCAGAGGAACCAGTGTCTGGCGCACAAGGTCGCGTCGCTGAACATGCACAAGACGGGGTTGCAGTTGCAACTGGAGGAGATGACCGAGAACGCCGAGCAGCTGGAGCGGCAGACGCAGCTGGAACAGGAGGACGTGCAGAGGAAACTGGACATGCTCAACCGGACCGAGTCGATGATCGAACAGCACTGGGATGAGCTCAACACTAGCACGGACATGGTGATTAAGAACCAGCAGGCCCAGGAGATCGACCAGGAACTCGAAGACCTCCAGCTGGAGCTCGATAAGTAAGAACGCTGTAAAGACGTTGCTAGCGGTGTAGCCAAAAATTGCCTTTAACATGTTAATTCTTATTACCAACGCTTGTCTTGCGATACTTACTAATAAAAAATAGGGTTTAGTCGACAAAAAATACAATTTTCCACTATATTTAAGTCAATTAGTTTTTATAGATTTTAAGTAGATGACCACTCTATACAATCCTCTTGGCTACACCACTAAGATACTTGCTTACCTGTTAATACTATCTAAATTAAAACGTTTGTGCGTTTACAGCCTGGATCTAGAAAATCGGCACATGGAAACAGACTTGTACGACCTCAACGAAGAATTGTCCGACTACCAGTTAAAATGCGACAGGATGGAGAAAGAAATTAGACAACTGGAAAAGGCAAAAGTCAATAGTTTAGACGAATACGCTAAATCGTGGGGACACCATAACGCCAAACAAAAGATCAAGTACACTGGCAAACTCATTAAGGACATGGACTCTATTACACAGGTGAGATACCTATTATATCGCATTGTTGTACCTATGTAATTACCATGGCTGCAGGAGAACGAATCGGGTCTAAAACATTGTACTTGAGAGTTAATGATAAAATATGTTAATAAAGTGGGGATAGGATGGCGATGAGGAATAATCGAAAATTTCTGGATAAATAATAACAGATAAATGATAAGAGATAACTGATAACTGATAACATAATCAGTTGGTAACAGACTAAAAATAAACAAATACCAACCGAATGCGCGAAACGTTGTGCAGTTTTTTTTTTTACATTCATCGAACCGTCACACTAACTGTTGACATTTTTGTGGGCCTTTTTTTTTTTTATTATAAAATCTTTTTAATTTTTATATTTCATCACGCAGGAGATAAAATTGTTGGAGTTTGAGCTGGAAAAGTATGGAGAAGAAAATGTGGAGCACGCCAATGAGAGTACAGTGTTCGGCCGGACTCAGACCAAGTCTGAAAAGATACAAAGGACATTTGGAATCATAAACGTCAACAAACCGCATACCGTTTTCCGAGAAAACGTAGTTCGCAAAATACGGTACTAATCATATAATATTATCAAAGTAATCTTTTGTGTATGAAACGCATTGGAGCGAGTCAATGTACGGTTCATTTTGGCCACCAAAACGGTTCATGGTTATTTTTATTTTTCTAAACTGAAAAAAATGATTTTGACATGAATAACGCCGCCCCTTTTGTCAGTCCAAAATTTGCGTCGACGTTATTGATGACTTGAGCTGATAAGAGATTAGTGATAAGAAAACAGTGATAAGAAAACATTGATCGAGGATAGCTGATAAGGTTTAACTAACAGATTGATAACAGAGATTCGTTTAGAGGCTTGTTGGACTGTCTTTAAAGTTGGAAATGAATTCCAAGTTGGGGAAGAAACGGATTTCAAAAGAAATTTACCTGCCAAATTTACCTGACCTCGATTGAACACTTTGAAAAAACCTCGAATGCTCTTGTATAGTTTATTTAAGTGTCGGTCGGTTCAGAGTTGTGACCGTGTGATCCGTTTGAATAATACGATGACTCGCATCTTTGTTGTTGTTGTTGTTGCTTAAAAATGTTTTATTTTGTTTTTTCAATAACCGATTTTTGTTTCTGTTTACATTGTTTCAGGCTGTGAAGAAAATCACATACGCATTTATCGTTTAGTAAATTGTACGACTGATTTTTATTTTTATTTTACATAATCGATTTAGAAAGAAAAAACCTAACCTGTTGAATTAGATTAATTAACACTATTGTGTACAGTTCTTGGTGTATATATATATATTTTTTTTTTTATTTTTAAATTCTTGTTCGATGTATATTTATTTTTAATGTTTGTTTAGACAATTTGTTTTAGAAAATGTATCGTGCCCGGCACGTTTTTTTTTTTTTTTTATTATTATTATTGTATAACCAATTATGTTGTTTCGATCGGTATAATAAATAGGTAATTTTTTTAATTTTTGGTAAGCAATTTACCTCATATATATATACTTCTATCATAATTATAATTATTATTATTAATTATTGTGTACCACTAAGACCCGATGTCGAATTATTATTTGTATTAGCATTATGAGAATTTACAACTGGACTCCATATTATCACGAAAAACGTGAAAATGTTAATATTATTATTTTTATTTATGTAACAATTTTTATTATAACCCACGATCATTGCTGCTGCCATATATATTGTTATAATTCAATGATGTATTTGAACCGACAAATTAAATATAAATTATTTACGTGACTTGCTTGTTTTTATTTATTTTGCGTTTTCGGCGTTAAAAATATAATTTACACTTATTTAGTTTTCTACATATTGTCAAGTATATAACATAATATATATCTTATGGATCTTTTCGAAATTGATAAATACACATTTTAAAAATTCATATTTTTTTATATTACTTCATGTAGTAGTTTTGTGTGTAATTATTTATATTATCTAATAATTTCAGATTACATTTTTTACTTTTTATTATTGAACCGTTGTAAAAGTACCCTAAAATATATCCTAACAAAAAAATTCCATTACCGACAAATGGCAGCGTCAGGGGAATGTTTTTTAATAGATTTGAGTGGTATGTTGAATTTGATTGGCTCTCTTCGTGCTGCCATTTTATTTTTATCACCGACATTTCCCACGGAATAGAACTGTGGTAAGAATACAATAACTGATAACTTGGTGTACCTATTTTAGCCATGATTTTGGCCTCATTTAATGTGCGTTGAACAATCGTCTTAATAATTGATCTGTTAGTCCAAGCTGTAAACCACAACCTCGAATTGACTTGTAGGTAGAGTTTTGCAGTGTTTAAAACATGCAGAGACATGTGCGATAAGGAGGAGTGATAAGAGATAAGAACTGATGAGAGATAAGGAGGGGTGGTTCTTTTTTAAGTGTTGGCGTGTGCCACGAAGAAGAGGACATTTTTTTCCAGGTAATTGTTGTAACTCAATATAAATGTATAGACATTGAGTATATACAATATATACTCAATGATTATAGTCATTAAAAACATGAAAAGAGAAACCGTCCACTGATGACACTCTTATCAACTTCGTTTTTAACTAATTGATAGTGAGAAGGTCTCTGCACCACTTCCTTTTAAGTCTTTTTGGTGGGTTGTTGGGCATTGAGGGTAATGTAAGATTAAAGTTGCCAACTAGATAACATTTGCGATTTATAGAGTTGCTATCCGAAGGAATTGATCCAGTATTCAAAAAGTTGACATGTTGACCCTTACTCATTGCAATCTACAAACTTTCAACCATAAAAACGAAACTCCCCCCTAAATTTTAAGGAAAGAAAACTTTTTTTTTTTAATTAGCCAAAACTTAACTATTGCTATAATCTCGAATTCATATGCTTCTATTCACCAGTAGTTAGAACCACGTGTCTTAAAAAAATACTAAGTAATGCTTCATTTTAAGAAATATTCCATCTTGTAGTGTTATTTAAATAGATAATAAAGTATACAATTTCGACTGGCCAAAAAATGCTTGTTTTCACCGAGATGTACCCACTTTTCTTGTGCAGGCAAAAATAATCAAATTTTTTGAACCTGTCTAAAAATGATATTCATATTTATCAGATAATAACTGGATATTTATCACTGTAATTATTTTCTGAGAGTTTGTGGAAAAACGGGAGGAATTTAATTTAAAATTTTGAAAACATAAAAAAATTATAATTAGTATCGCTTTGTCCTAAATTTTGTTTTTTGTGATTTGATAATCAAACAAACCATATACTGTTACTTTTAATACGTCTATAGTGTTTAAAAAATGTACTTAAATAGCAACAATTGTGATAAAAAAATAAATTAGGATTAGAGTAAAGAAAATCGAAAGAATTTAAAATAATAGCATTATTCCAGTCACTAAGGTAAAAACTAATCACAAAAACAATTCCTTGTTGATAAAATCACTTTGTGAAAAAATGCATTAAATTGTTAATGTGATATTACCGCCGATAGTACATTTTATATATTAAAAAATATAAATAGGTATTGATAAAGAAACACTGTAAAGACAATGCACTTAAAATTAACCTATAAATATAACAAACCCAACGGCTAAATTTGTTGTGCCAGTTTACCATTCTAAATATTTTATAAGCCGTAATGAGAAATGTGGCAATTATCTTTTTCTTTTTAGATTATTAATATATGGCTACAAGACAAAATGTGACAGTTTGTTATTATTTCACCAGTGTCATCTGGTTAAGAATTAATATCAAGTAGAATGTTAAAACGCCTCAAATCGAAATGAAACCGTCTTGATTTATTAGCTTAAGTATAAAAAAAACTGTAGCAGTATTTTTTTTAACCGAAAAACCCAAGAAATGTATTACAGAAAGGTTGTTTGGGTTAAACGTCAATACATGTCTGGCCGGATACAAGGGCATTTGTTCCCTTAACTATTTTTTTTCATCTACCTATTAAATTATGATAAAGACAATTTTGATCTGATATACCATTACATAAAAAAAGAAAATGTAGATAATACATTTTATAATTTGCACGCCAGGAACTAAAAGCACTTTTTAGACCCTTAGAAAAAGTTGTATGCCTTTCCAGTCGTTATTTTGCTAAATTCGTTTCTTGTGACAACATTTTGCACATCGATAAAGAAAACAAAATGATAAACCGTTGTCAAGCAAACACCCGATATTAATACAAGTGTATCTTTGAGTATAATACAAAAACATGTTATTCTACTATTTTCAATAAATCAAAATACACAAGAAAATTGATTGATTCATTAAGGACAAGACACTAGTTTTGTCTTTCTAACACTAATCGCATTTTTGTAGCTTTTATAATAATTGGAGACACTTAAGTTGGTGTTATTTTACAATTTGATAAAACTACTACTACACATTTGCCTTTTCTATTCTTTTTTTCACAGCTCAGAATTTTAACAGAAGCGTAGTGCCATCACAAAAACAATTTTTTCACTCCACCCTTCCCCCCGTCCTAATTTTTAATGTTTAATAATTCCCAAAGTAATTAGCCAAAACTGGTTATCGACCGGAATACTATTCAGAAAATAATTCTCAGCATTAAAAGTAAATTGAATATGTACAAAAGTTACTGTTTAAGTTTTTTAAAGTTGATAGGCTTACGGAAAAAATAATACTAAAAAAAGGTTAATGTTTAGTATTTTTATAATATTATAAGATTTATAACCAAAAATGTTTTCAAAAAAAAAAATACTACAAAATTGCAATTATTCTAAAGCGTACTCATTCCATCTTTAACCATGACAAAAATATTCGGTTTGAGTTTAATAAAATTTTTTTTGTCAATTTTAAAAATACCCATTGCTGTTTCGTGTTCCACCCAATTTAAAAATATTTTAAACGGCCGAGATCATAAAAGATGGTGGATAATTTTCAACAAATTAGGGGTTCCGTTTTAGGTCAATACGAATCAATAAGTCATTAATGATAAGACCATAGGTTTATTAATTGTTTTAATAATTGTTAGAGAGTGAGGATTTTGTATAATTTCGCACATTGGCGCATGTGTTTCAAAAGTTCCACTGAATTCAAAAGTAAATAAAGATTTATATGTACGATTTTCTATGGAAGTATTTTTTTTTGAGTTCTCGCCTAAGCATTAACTCGAAAACACTATTTTTCTACTACAGAAAGACACTTGGGCTGTTCGATGTACTTTCCCGTATCCAATGTTTACATAAATTGAAATATACGAATCGTCAAATTCAGTCTTAAGAAATGTGTGGCCAACCCGACTTATTGACGATTTTCTAGAATGATAAAAAAAACAATTTACGTGAATTTGTTTTGCTTTTTTTTTTGTATACAATGTTATTTCAAGGTCATTGTAATTATTCCCCCTTCGATAAGAGGATTTTAGGGAGGGGTGGTTTTGCAATATCTTATAGGAACTTGTATAAATAATAAATTTAGACATTTATGTTAATCTATTTTTTGTTTTTTAGTAAAATAGAATTTGATTGCACTTTGAAGTTTATAATATAATTTAAAACACCCGTAGTCTTTTATCCTCGTAGGATTATTATTTATTTTATTGTTATAGTACATAAATAGTCGCGTTTGCATTAGTCGAAGTAATTGTTCGGACTTAAACGCCAAAACAGTTCACTAAACTGCCATAATCTACTATGCAAGTTCCATTCTAAACTCAATGGTCATCCGAACCAACTCGTTTACAACCTTCCTTCTAAGTAAACACAATTTTACGATACCGACCGTTGGGACCTAACCTAACCTAACACGAGTCGATGTTACCAACCGACAGTTATTAGCGTCGGTTCGTTTCTCACATCTGGTACACCATGTTTGTAATTGGTCCAGTATTTAAAAATTTACAGTGTATACGGATAAAAAAAAAGCCCACATCACAGTAAAGCCGCTCTGCATCGAAGCTAAAACATTTTTCTGGGTTTTTATGTAGAATGCTTCAAAAGTGGTCGAATTATATGTTTTTGGGGTCGGTGATTACGAATTTATTATTAGTTTTCAATTTCACTCAGCCAAAAAAAAACAAAAATTAAATTTGTGAAAGCTAAAAGTCAAAAGTGGTATTTAAGCCCAAAACTTAACAGTATCATTCTGCATAGATCTACATAAAATTGTTTTAATGATTTGATAAAAATTTTTTTTAAGATTTCAGGTGTTTTTGTTATAATATACGCAATCCGCGAAAACACAGCTTTCCGGCAATTAAAAAAAAACTGTAGTGCCCAATTTGCAGGTACTTTTATAAATTAAAGTGATAAAATTGAATAAAATCACTTTGAAATAAACGCTTTAATGCTTATTTGTAAATACAGCACCTCAATTTAATACTTTCAAACTTTGCAGGTTTATACTGTGCTTGGTTTGGACTGTACTGGCTTGAAAATACTAACTACCGATTTGCGTCGAAGCGTTTTTTCGAATGTGATTTTATCACTTTTAGATTTAAAAATTCCTGTAAACCTATGACCTACCCCATTATGCACCGAACCCACTGTACTGGTTTTTTGTAACATAACAATATTAGCTCACGTTTGTTTGTAATTATACGTTTTATTTCTCCAAAACCACATTTGACGATTTTAGTAGGCTGATAAAAACTCAATAATTTCGGATTACCTCATTCCATTAGTGACAAAATTCGACAAGTAGGAAGGTCAATTTATATGTTTTTGGGGTCGGTGATTACTAATTTTAATATCA